TGTTTCTTAGTTTCGTTTCATCTCGAACATTATCATCTACTTCATTTTTATCCCCACCATCCACACCTCTAAATCACTTTCGTTTTCACTTTCTTCTAAAATTACATTATTTTTAAGCAATTCTAAATTATTCAGATAAAGAAACAATTCGGGTTGCTAAGTCATCTTGTGTGCCAGAGCTATCAATGCATAAAACATTGGCAATGGAAATTAATTCATAAGCCTGAAAATCTTGTTTGATTTTTTCGAGTTTTCATTAAGTTCTTACTATTCTTGCTAAAGAGAAACCACTAAATTGTTTAACCTTTTTCGATTATTTCTGTCGACCACATCGTTAAATATATTTTGTGTAATAATTTTATTATTATGCGCTTTTTTCACTTGTTCAGGACATCTTCCATTCCCGGCACATCAATTAGAAACATAGTTAATAAAATTGAGAAAATCACTCACTTCATATAATGGTAATCCACAATGTTCCGGGCTATAAATCCGGAAACAACAAAACGAAACCAAATTACTTCCATACCATCCAATGGATCACAAATGCTGTCGACAAGAGGCGAGTACAAACAGATTATGTCGATTGGATTTTTGGCCACAATTCACGTCTTGACATTGACATCCAGTATTATTAAAATTAATTCCAGTCCTAGAGCCGCACACAACTATTACTCACTATACGCAGTTTCAGTTCAGGTAAATCAGCATACATTCCTAGGAGCTGATGATGTTTTGTTCGAAACATAGTGATTATACATCGTTAAAAACAGTCCAGCACAGCAACAGTTATTCTTCAAAACCGGTAGTAATCCAGGAAAGCAGGTTAAAACTACAGTTCATTCGAGTGCTGAAGTGCTATCCCACTTCTGAGAAATTTTTGTGGGATTTTAAATGATGAACAAAATAATAACGAAAGACATTTTAATTAGCGAATGATTATTACATAAATTTAACATTTAAGAGAATTAAACAAGTAATGATTCGTCAAAGTTCTTTTGAACAGAAGCAGCGTCTCTGCTTTCACGTCAATCGTCTATCATCTCAAAACGGTAATTCCCTAATTTTGCTTGGGCCTTCGCAGTCGTAGAGAATGACGTCACGGCATCTGGTTTTCATACGCTCCAAGAATCGGGCACACATATATATATAATACACCTTAATAAGTCATATATTGACAGCAGATGAGAGATGGGATGGTTTAGAAGTGTTGATATATATTATTAGTATTAATGTCATGAAACATTATATTAATGAAGTAATACAAAGTTTTCATCTTGCATAATAAATCCATAAATTTCCAATGTTTCAATTGTAGCATTTACAATAAAAGTATAGTTTCTAAGTATTATAATCCAAAAAGTATTCATAATACATGAAAATAGACAAATTTAAGAGTTTCTCATTATTATATAAGCTATGCTTTTTTTATGCATCTTTTGCTGTAAAATGTGTCACTGATTATGCAATGACAATTTAAAAGATAAGTAATTGGAGAAAAGTGTGCATATACAAACGATTAAAAAACTATTCAACTTAAATTGAAAATTAAAATTCATTATATAAAGTGATGATATGTGATCAGCCAAAATACGACAATTTGGAAAACTTTGGCGAGAACAATTTATAAACAAATCCGAACTGCAAAGAACTCATAAAATACGGTTAATTGAAATTTCCACGATTATATTTAATGAATATAAAACATTTTAAAAAGACAGGCGTTCTATTACACAAAACAGCAATAATTAAATCGGCCTTATTTCCACCGCATGAATTACAGTGAGAGCCATCGCCATTAAAAGGTTACCATGATCCTTAGAGCAGAACTTCGTAGGATTGGTTGAACATTCGAGAAAAGGTCTCCAGCCGGAAATTTCGGAAAGTTTTAAAATGGTGCTCGTAACCGAGACATGTTCCCCCTAGCTAGACGAAACATTTCTCGGAAGCCTCCCGCTTAAAGCAGTGCTATTAGAATCTCGTTTCTCAGAATTGCCATGCGCGTCCCTAAAAGTGATAACCTCTTAACAACTAGTAAAAAATAAGCTGGATGAAATTAGTTAAGGAAGATCAGAATTTGCTGTGTTAACAGAACTTAATTTCTTCCGAATCTAATTCTCTCTTTTTTCTTACTGTTATGCAAAAAATAAATAAATAAATAAATAAAAAATAAAAAATCATTAGCAACACTTCAGAAATATATATTTTTGAGCTTCAATTATTATTTGAGTCAAAGAGAGAAATCTTAACCTCCTCATACTTCCACAACCATTCAAGGGCCTAAAGTATATTTTTGACTATCATCAGTGAATATAGTACAGTCAAGTACGGAAAATCTGCCAACTCCTGAAATCCGCATTGCCTCTCAAAATATAAACATTCAGTTTATATGTTCCAGAAACCACAACTTTGAGTACGAAATATCAAAGAAAAAATACTTACCTAATAATGATGTCATAATTACCGAATAATAATGAGTCATAACGGAAATACCAAGTTATTGACATTATGATAAAAGTTTTTCCCTCTAATCTGCGTCGAGGTAAGAAAGAGAGATTACTCACTCTTTTCAAGTTCACATTAGTTGTGTATTTCTGAGCTTTGTTATTCACGAGATTATTAGTGCGCCTTTTTTATCCGGATATTTTTGGATAAATTAAGATATTTTAAATTTCAGCCCTTTTAATACAATACAGATAAGAAATGCACTCTGATTACTGTTGCAACGTTGAAAAACGTTAAACCGTGATGGCGGTTAATGCAAAAAGTGCAAATGTGCAAAAGATGGAGAAGGTGATTTTATAGCAGATGGAATGTGATTGATACAATGTGTTATCTATAGGGAAATAAAGAAAAGCCTTGAAATTTACAACAAACCTGATTAAACACTGAATCGAAACCGAAATCTTTGCATGAGGCGAAATCGGCAAACCTGATGCTGTGTATATATACAACAATGAATAATATAATAATTTATATATAATAATAATTTATCATAATAAGTTATGCATAATGTATATAATATTAATTAAATGTATCTATCGCTTATTTTTTTGCACTTTTAGTTGACTCTTATATTTATCTTTGTCTTGAAATCCGAAAATCCTAAAATTCGCACAACCTCTGTTCCAAGCTTTGCGGATTTTGGACCTTCTACTCTCTACTGTATTGCCATCATGGTGGGATTCGCTAAGCAAGCAGGTCTTTGAAAATGACATAGAGGAATATCAGTTGGGAGAGAAATCACTTTCATGACCATATGCTTTTCCTGAAGTATCATATTCTCCATTCCTAAATTTTGTATTAAAAAAAAAAAAAAAAAAAAAAAAAAAAAAAAAAAACTTTTATTGGTGATCTGAGGGTCTGAATATTATACCATTTTTTACTTCGTACTGTGTAAAAAATATCAAGAGCTAAGCATGCAAATCAGTAATATTACGAGAACTTGTAAGTGTGCAAGTATGCAAAGAATTCACTTCATTCATTGGAATTCTCTGAATTGTGTAATTTGCACTTAACTTTCACAATAGTACTCTAAATCGTATTCAACTTAAAAGTTGGATGATGAAAGAAACGATGAGAAAATCAAAGGTGAAAAAAATTAGCAGAATATTTCAATGAATATGAAACAGACTTATTAACAGTCTTACAATGAATAAATATTATATGAAAATAATCAAAGGGCAAGAAGTACAATTGATCATTAGGAACAAATCTAAAATTATTTTCAAGGTTTATCATGAAGGTTAGGAAAAACTTTAATGATATTGAAAATGATGCCAGTTTACTAATGGAAAAGCAAAACTATCTAGAGATCAGAAGCAAAAGAAGAAAACTGCCGTTTGAAAAAACAACTCTAAATTAAACATGTTTTACTGCAAAGAAAAATTTTGTGATAAATGTACATAATATTATTTGTGATCTTACTAATCTCTGAATTATTTTGGGAAAGTGTCATTTACAAGTGATGTATTAAAGGCTTTTGAATTGTTTTTATAATTTTAAAATGCCTGATGACTGTTTAATGACTATGCAGAAAGCATATGTATAAAGTATCAAAATGATATTAACATGAAATATTTTATTGATGAAACTACTTTGTTGCATTTAGGAAGGAAAATATCATCAATCTTGTTGATACGTTTAAATTTTTAATTGCAAGATTGCAGTCTACATTTCTGAATATAGAAACAACTTTTATTATTGTTAATAATATTATATTTTGATGTTTTTAATGTTTAATTAAGACTAGTAACTATGTTGTATTTTTATTAAAATTAAACTATTTTCAGATAAATTATGTATGTATTTACATTATTATTAAAAGTCTGTGGTCAGTATTAGAATAAATTTTACAATATTCTTCTATTAGGAACAAAGAACAGTTTGAAAAGCATAGAATAAATTGAAATCCTTTCTAGAATCTGTGCATTGCAAGATGGGTTTTGCAGTCCAAAGGATATGTGATAAGATATTAAAGATGCAAATTTTATTTTCAGTAATACAAAATATAGTAATAAAATAACAGTATAAAATGTATGAAAATAAAATAATTTAATATTATAAAAATAATGTATCATGTCTTCATTGTTTAGTGTCTGTACAAGTCTTTGAATGCAATGCTGTCTTGGGTGGCAGTTGGTTCATATCGATTTTTCTGTTTAGTCTTTAGATAATTTATTAAATGAATTTTTATGCGTGTAGCTGAGAATAAAAGAAAAAATGAAGTCTTGTTAAAAAAATGAGTACAAAAAAGAGAAATGCACCCACAGTTTTGCGAGCTTCTGTTATATGCGATTAGGTGCTGAATTTGAAACATTTTATTTCAAACTGAAAATTTAAATTCTGTATTCAGGTATTTATTAACTTTTGGTATAGCTTTCATTAAAAATTCGAGTTATTTTCTGATTTGTTATCTTTTTTTTTCAAAGTAAGATTTTTATTGATGAATGGATGACTATTAACATTACAGCTAATGCAACATTTATTCTCTATTTTAGCGGAAACTTGAGCTAATCTTTCTGAAAACATGACAGCTTCTTAAAACTAGATGAAAGGAATCAAATCTGAAGATTTTGTGCTTTGAAATACTCAAGAGCAAGAAAATACTGGCATCATGACTTCAAGTTGCTTAGATTTAAGCATACCATCATCTTCAACATGTAAGGATGATTTTGTGTCTCAGTGGCGCTGTCACAGAAGGACGAAAAGTGCAGGAAGCAATGCTTCCAGAGACTTATCGTTATATACATCGATGGGTTTATATGCTCATCATGGGGTTTTTGCCCCTCAAGAAAATACAGCAGTTGAGAAGAATGTTGAAGTATCATTTAACTGCAAATATGATTTGATAAAAATTGTTGAAAAGTCTGATCGAGCTGCTCTGCATTCACGTGATCAACAAGGTGAGATTTCTTTTCTTTTGTAGATATTTGTGTAAAATGATGTTCTAATAGAACCTAAAGTATATATTACCTAAATTGCTATTTTCTACTGATATACAGTAGAATTCCAGTTGTTTAATCTGCGATTGTCTTGTGCTTGTTTATACTGAAAATTGTAAAGCAAAGTTTTGATTTTCCATAAAATTCAGTATGGTAGTTTTTTTAATATATGCAAATAAATGTTTTAACAAAATGCACTATATTTGTAATCTATTTTGTCTGAAGAAGCAAATTAATGCTATTATTGAAATTATTTAGCACTTTTTTGCATATGCATCAGCACTCTTTTTATAGTAAGTAACTATAATCTCTCTCTGCGGATATTTCATTTTGAATAAATCCTTACTTTTGAGTAGTAAACATGGGTCATGAATATTTGCAAGCATTTTGTATTATGTAAATCACTGATGTGGAGTGTGTGTGTTCCTGCTGTCTTTTAAAATTGTGTTCTTGTGATAACATCTGTAAAGTATTTGTATGCAATAATGCTGAGTTCTAATTCAAATTTACTTCATTGTTGTTTTGTTTACATTTATGTGATTAACCTCTGTAAAAACATCTGATTAACATCTGCCCACAATGTTCAGTTCCAACACTTTGTAGCTGGTTTGTGTTTGCCTTACTTAGGCTTGGTGACAAATAGGAATAAATTCTTAAAAATAGCACTTTAAGTGGTTTTTTTTTTTTTTTTTTTTTTTTTGAGATTGGAAAACAAAGTAAAGGAAAAGGAAGAATATCATTGAAATGAGAATATCATCCATACCACAGGCATTTATTTTGTGTTCACCATATATTTTTTTTGTGATTTCTTAATTGTATTAACCAAGTTGCTGATGTCACTGCTAATGCTAATGGAAGAATAGCTTAAAAGTAGGCAACTTGTGCCTTAAAGCTTATTCATCTCATAATATCCTAAAACTAATAACAAAAAGTTCACAGAATGCATATCATAATTATTAAGCTTATAATATCCTGCAGATTTTATTTTTGGAATCTTAAAATTCACAATTTTAAAAATATAAAAATATCATCTTATGTGTTTTCCAAAATAAAAATTTTAAAACATAGGATTCCATTTTAAGAGGTATCAGAAACCCCTATACCGACAATGTTAAATTGGCCTTTTCGATGTACCTTTTCTCAAAATCGCTGTAGATACAAGCTTTTGAAGTTTTTTCTGTAATTAAAGTATACTCTATGATTATACTGAAATGAGTTTTTTGACGCATTTTGAATTTTAGAGTAAATTACAGAATATTTTGTTAAGCATAGTAAATTTAGCACTTTTTTCACACAAAAAAATTAAAAAATAATTTTTTCTAAGTTATACAAAAAGTCATTCAGTAAATATTAGAGAACCTAATAAATAAAGCCATAAAAAGTTTAGATACCTGTGAGCAGTAGTCCTGAGAAAAGATACATCGAGTATAAAAAATCACGTTTGCAGAAAAACGCATTTTTATGTAAAAATCCTCATTGATCGAAGCAGTAGATGACAAATTAATACTAGATTTTTTTACAGTTCTAATTTTTATAGAGATTAAAGAATTGTATTTTTAGAAAGATAAAAGTGTAGAGAATTTGAAAATGCAAAAATCCGAAATCACAATTTTTTTAAGATTTTGGGGTTCCAACACCCCTTAAGTTGCTTTACAGACCGTTGCCATCCACAGCTTCGAAACAAGAAATAGTTAAATTAAACATTTTGATATTTTTAATGTTTTCAGGTACTTAATTAGTATTTTTATGTGTTAAGTCTGTAGAAACTGTGAAGAGCATAATAATAAAAATAAATAAAAAAAAAACAAATCTGAAATGTTAGATTAAATTACGTCTAAAGGGGCGTTTTTAACATTTTGTGTGTTACTTTTCTTATTAAATATCATGTTCCTCACACTTAAACCATAAGATCCAGTGCAACAGCAATATCGCAAAATAGTTTTAAAAAAAAACGAGCATATCTTTAGAATTTCCGATACAGAGACTCACGCGCTGGAGATAAAAAATGTTTTTTTCTGCACAACGTTGCCATTGCTCGCTTTGAAATCCTTGAGTTGTTAATCAAAAATTCGTCAAAGTTTTAAAAAATAGGAAATCGATCATAAAACAAATTTCAAAATTTCAAATTTGGTCTTCCAACATGCTCATATTCGTTGGAGGATTACGTTATTCAAAATTCGATGACTCTATGTACCATTGTTTTATCACAATACGAGAAATATACATACATTTATGCAGATTTTTCATTATTTAATTTCTTCAAATATAATGCAGGACTCTAACATTTTGTGGCAACAGTTTGAAAAGTGAACCGACATTTATGAGTCCGACGCAAAATGCCAAAACGAAACTAATAGTCCTTCGGGATTCAAATCCCTTTGGACTAATAAAAATTAGGAACCTTTTTTATAACTGTTATAATGAACAGACATTTTGGTGTTCTTTTTTAGTAAATCTGCACTGCAAGTAAGATTGCAAATAATGATTACTATCTCAAAATGTTTATTTCATCATTTTGATTTTCACGTTCTGGTAAATCTGTGCAGGAGTTTAATTCTTTTATTATTATTATATTTATGATTAAAGTACTTAAACCCAGTTATCTTTGTTCTGAAGTATGGCTTATAAAAATTTGAACATATAGCAAATCTGTTTTATTATTTTTTAATTGCTGTTGTCATTACTACTATTTAGTGATTAATTTTTGGGGAAAACATCACCAAATATTGATTACTTAGGAAGAATACATCTAGTTTGTCTTTTACATATAGTAAATATTTATTTCACTTAGAATCAAATTTAGACTTTTGGTTTATTTATTATCATTGACTGAGAGCATCTATCCCATGAATTGATAAGTCTATGTAATTAGCCCAGCCTATATAGTGCCGTCTGGCATTGCAGCCCGTTTTTTGTGCTATTAAATAATCATTTTCTCATGTCAAGAATATACACTGCATCCATAAAAATTCTGGTGTTATCCATCCAATTATGTATGAATTTTTGCAACCATTGATCATAGACATGCACTTCCAGTTATAAAAATGTTTTAAAATGAGTAAAATATTTAATATTAGGGCATTTTTAAATTTAAGAAGTAAACTTTGTAAAAATTATAAAATCTAACATTTTATATTGCCTCCATGTCTCTGTTGTTATGTGTAGTAAAAGTTTGTCCCTCATACCACAGAAAATAAAAATGTTCTTTATATTTAAAGTTGGAGATCATGTTTAAGGGTTGTGAACAAATTGAGAAAGGAAGTAATTGCATTTGTTCCTATCTAAGAATAAAATTTATGCTTTGAAAAAGATTTCTGATGTTAATAGATTGTCATTATCATTCAGACTCTAATGAAGATGTGAAACATTTTGATCTAAAAGTTTTGTAAAAGGGAGATCTTTTTCGCAAAATCTTACAGAATTTGCATTCTAAAAAATAATGGCAAGCTTCAGTATTGGTACATAGCTATTTTACAACATTATTTTCATAATTTAAAAATGAAAAATATCTTTAGTTTAATGAGTTTTGTACGATTACTAAATTATGATTCAAAAGTAATAAAACTGGTAAGAATATTAATAACGTATTTTCAGCATATGAAAAACTGATAAACTACTATGGAAATCCATTAAAACATTTTTGTAATGTGAAGTATATGTCTACAGCCAGTAGTTGTGAAAATGAAGGTTGTATAGAGACGTTAATAGAAATGGTGTCTGAACCCAAGAGTTATGGAAGAGGCAGATGATGTAAACTATATAACCACTGTGTGTGCTTTTTTACCAAAACTTGATGATTGCATTGCCATCAAATTCCATCTGTAAAATAAAATAAAATTTCATTTTGAAAATATTTTCAATTGATATTCCACTCTTCCCCTTTTTGGGGGAAGGGGGGACTTACAGCTCTTTCTTCAGAAAAAGGTAAATCCCAAATTTTTTATCCTATAAAAATTATAACCATTTTATGTACCAAATTGCTTATTCAAAATTTATGATAAATTGAAGTTGTTCGCATTATTAGGATTATTAAGCTAGTGACTTTTGTTGTTTTTTTGGCAGTCATGAACACATGAACTACTGTTCTGTATTTCTTCTTGGCTAGCAGACAAGAACGCATTATCTTTGTAAATGTACAGCATTTATATTTTAATGCATTTAAAGCACTGCGTTTGCAAGAATTATGTACGTGTTTAAATGTGCATCAGTATGTAGCATTTTCACTGATGTTATACTTACATGTACTTAAAAAACATATTCCATGAAATATCACTGTAAATAGCTTGTATCACCTTGGTGCTGCCTTCACAAAGAAGAACACTCAGTTGCTTTCTTTGAACTTTGTATTTATATTCCTTCCTTTGAATATATGCATGATTCACCCTAAATGGGATTCTTACAACATTTATATTCTTCCCTCATTCAAATCAGTATTCATGTCAATTTGAATAGCCTCTGTTCTCTATACCTGGAAGAATATTCCAGGTCCTGTCATCTCCCCTCCGTGTCCTTCTCCTTTCTATTGTTAGTAAATACACTGAACACTGGTAGTTCGGTCCGAGGTTCAAATCCCGCAAACGGGCTGGCTACATGGGCGTTTTCGGGGTTTTTCTCATGTATAGTGTATACGAGCCAGTTTCCCATAGAAAGTCCTCCATGAAGGCATACCTCTCTATAGGCAGATAGCCCTCGTGTGCTTTGCCATAATTAAATAATCCAAGTGTTGTAATGACAAACCCCAACGTATTACGTCTTTCTTCCCCTTCACTATGAATTGACTCTTCTTAGCATCTTCCAGCTACAGATCCTGTCAGCTTCAGTATAAGTACTTATTTATTGGTTTTTAAGTAGAAAATGTGTTAAAATGACACATAAACAACAAAGAAGCTATACTGCTAGTTTTAAGATTAGTGTAATTTGCCGTGCTGAGCAAATTGAAAGTAGAGCAGCAGATGAAGAATTTGTAGTGGATGAGTGTTGCATTTGGCATTGAAGAATTGAAAAAAAAAAAAAAAAAAAAAAAAAAAAAAAAAAGAGCTTGAATATATATCACAACAGTAAAGAACTAAAAGAAGGGATACTATTAGATGCCCAAATCTAGCAGACGACCTTCCAAAGTGGACAAAAAAGCAACAAGGAAATGCCGTGGCAATTTTGATTATAAAAATTTGTTTACAGGCAAAATTTATGCTGCAACAAATAAGCATAAATTACTTCAAAGAAGGGCCTTCTTGTAGTGTAGTAGAGTAGTGTAGTAGTGTAGTGGTGTAGTAGATTTATGAAAAAAAAAAAAAAGTTCTATGCATACCAGAAAACAGTTGGGCAGCAATTACTCATAGAAAAATTACTCATGGCAGCAATTAAAAAGCATCTTTTCTAAAATATGTGATAGATATTATTGACAAGGAAAAAATTCTTCTATCACAGATAAAGCACCATTAGCTTTTGATTCCTGCAAACAGAACTGTTGATGACACTTATAAATCTGTTGAATTATATCCAACAACCTTTCTTTTCTTCTGTCCTCAACCACTTAAAAAAAAAAAAAAAAAATCTATATTTTTACTATATTGTCAAACACTCAATTTACCACCGGCAGTCATTTTACAATGCAAAGCACATAATACGCAACGTACTTTCTAACTGATATCCAACACAGAAAGAAGCCCTTACAAATATTTTCCCCATCAGTCAAATTCACCACGATCATGCAACCAAAGAAGTCATGATGAAGGTTTCCATAACATTCAAATTTAGGTTACCATAAATGAAACAACAACTTGGCAATAAATGAAACAACTTGGCAATAATTCAAGAAAAGCCCTAAAATATAGGCTAACCAAAGTCAAGATTTCGTGACTGTGATGTTTATGGTAATGCTGTGTGTATGCTGGTCATCAGAATTGAAGGATAATGAAAAAATTTATGCTATTGATATTGCTAGTTGATATTGCAACCTGAAGCCCAATCCTGTAATTATCTATGTTAATTGAATATAATTGAACACAAAATTACACTCCTGTGCATATGTTAGGGTCGGACGTGTGCAAATTTGGTGAGGTACAATGTGGTCCACAATAGATGCATGGTGGAATTCTGGTCTGTAGTGTTGTTTAAAGTGAATGCGGTTTCTGAGAGTGATCAATATTCAGTAATTATGGCTCAAAGGCATCGTTTAAGTGAAGATCAAAAGTAGCGAATCATTCGTAGAATCAAGGAGGTTAAATACAAATGGAGGTCGCCAAAGATTTGAATATCCCTCAAAGTGTCATATCAAGAGTTTGGAGCTGCTTTTTAAGCACTGGTCACAGGTGACCAAAAGCAACAACTGCATCAGAAGACCATTTTCTGCCTTTCATTGGCTGAAAGAAACCATGAAGCAACTTGAAGAGATTTTGGTTTTAGATCTTCAAGCTGCCACAGGAACTCGAATTAGTCATTTTACTTCTGCACAAAGGCTTAACAAGGTTTGTTTTTATGAGAGAAAACCAATGCTTTGTATCCCACTCACTTCAGCTTTAAGACAGGCCTGTTTAAACTGGTGACATCGTCATTTTCGTCGGAGCCAAGATGGCTGGGCCCGAGTATTTTTTACTTACGAGTCCAGATATAGTCTGAACATTGGTTCTAGACGTGTTTTGATCTGGAGAGAGGAAGAAACATGCAAATTGTCTTCCCTTGTCTGTGAAATATCTCGTTTCCGTGACCGTGGTTTAATAGTTTGGGGAGGAATCATGATAAATGGTCGAACCGAGCTGCATGTACCGTATTTACTCGCGTATAAGACTCATCCTCTTTTTTATGCACATTTTTGAAAGATCAAACTTTTATTAATGATCATTATAATAAATTTACAGTATTTTAAATGTAAAGTAATACAAATACGTTCTGCAAATACCCAGTCTATCTGGGAAAGAACACATTTAAATTTTTTTTTGTCAAAACCCAGACACTCATCTCGAGAGCTAAATAAAGAGTCACTTGAAAACCTTTTCTAAATCAGCATCTGAGTCCTCGTACAACAAATTGTCTTCTGTCCTATCCACTACATTACTAATGTCACACTTTTCAATGATTTAATCACTGTCTCTGTTTTCACAGCATTCCATGAAGCTTTGAACCATTCAGAAACAACATATCAGATACAATTATCGCCATATAAAGCGCACTGCAATTTTTAGACCTATTTTCAAAGGAAAAACAGTGCATCTTTTATGTTGGCAAATATGGTATTTCAAGAAGGCTGTATAACTGATCATAAATACATGGACCAGGTAGTGGAACCTTAGGTTAGTCTGTTCAGGGATGGTGTTGGCACACAGTTTTTGCTAATGGATGACAATGCTTGTCCTTATTGAGCATATGTGGTGCCAGAATACTTGCAAATAGAAGATATTACTTGAATGCATTGGCCATTTTACTTACCCAAGTTGAACCTGATCGAGCATGTGTGGGATGCCTCAGCATGGCAAATTCCTCCCCAGACCCAACCAGGAGCTGAAAAGTGCAATTTTAGAAGAGTGCAGTGCAGTTCCACAAGACTTGATCGAAACTTTGGTAAAGTATATGAAATCAAAATGCGAGGTATGCACATTTGTCTGACGTGACCAATCACCATATTAATTTTTTTTTTCCCACAAGAGGTTACTTAATTTTTTCATCATTTTTCAGTTTCCATAAATTTGGTTTTAATTTCAATATTTTGTGAATAATCAACTGCCATACATTGTAATTTAACTAATGCTTTTGTATAAGTTTCTATTAGTAATTTTTCATTAGGTGTGAGTGATGTTTTATTTCTGTCATTATCATTTAATTTTGATGACCAATGTAATTTTAGTGAAGCATTTGTGTGCAATTTTTACTTCCTAATCTGTATTTATTGGACATTAATTGGGTTAATTTTGATTAATTTTATATTAGTTTTGATTAAAATTATTATCAGTTATAAAGTTCTTTTGTTTTTCAATATTTTGTTGGTTATTATACTTTTAATAGCCATATTTTACCCATGTTAAGATGATGTATTTAGTACTGTATTTAGTATACATTATTGATTTTAATTATATTCTGTACCATGTTGAAATTCAGAGGCATAGGAAATAAGTTTATATGTATTTTCAAGAAGCAGTTTGATAATTTAATTCATCTAAACAAAAACTTTTTTTGGAACTACCACACATTAGCAAAATGCTTTTGGATTTTGATATGCGATGAGAATGAATTGTTCTTTATGTCTGACATTTCGCAGAAGAACTCCCATCTCGGAGCAATTAATTTTTGTTAAATTGTTTATTATTTCATATTTTTATTTCAGTTTATCTTCAGGAGAGAAAGTTTTTTTAATCTCTGCTTATTTTGCAAGTTCCAGCTCAACTGTCTTATTTTATTTGTTTAATTATAACATGGCTGTAAGAAACGGATTATAAATTTATTTAAAGTTCATATTATTGTTTTCAGAATTAATCATTGGCATTATCTTTGGTTAACCAGGAATAGATTAGGCTATAGTACATATCATTCAGTGAGATACTGTTTTTCATCAGATCACTTTCTACGTAGTTCAGAATGTAAATGTTAGTTGAATAAATTTCTCATTTTATTTGAATTTAAATAGAGTAAATTATAGTTCTGCATTTTGGTTTTCATTTCCCATGATTGTAATATTACTTTTATTGTTCAAGTTTTTAACCTCTTAAAGCACATGTTTTTGTGACAGAGAATGAATATATAGGTATAGTGTAAGTTAATTTTTATAATTTCAGTTGTGTGTGTGTGTGTGGGGGGGGTAACTAGGGGTTGAGGGTGAGGTAAAAATAATGCACTACCATCCTCCTTTTAGCTCAGATTGCAAGGAGAGCTAGCAAAGTTTTTTGAAACCTTTCCTTTAAAGAATCACCATTATTATTTTTCAGATAAGAGACTCGAATACTGAGGAATTTTTTCTCTTTTCTGCTCACTCTTATTCCTAAATTAGGAAAACCCAAAAATTGCTATATCTTAGCTGAAGTAATTGTTAAAGGATGGAATATTAACTTTTGAAAACACTGTTTTATATTGAAAATAAACTTTGGTAGCATATGTTTTATTCAATCACAAAACAGGAATGGAAGCAAAAAATGGAAAAAAGATTTTCACAAAGAATAAATGAATTTCTTTCAGCTATAAAAATTTAAGAACATTTCATTTGTCAATAATTTAATAATATTTAAAAAGAAATAAGGGCTAAAATGTTTAAAATGATCACAGCAGAGGTATAAATTATTTTGCAAATGTCTAGTATGTTTGAGTTAAATTAGAAAACCTATTTTGGGGGGGGGTGAATTTAGTTTTGAAGCTCAAGCTTTTTTTGTTTGTCACAAAGTTGCGTTTATAATTTTTAGGAGCATAAAATGATTAAAAATTTTGTTTTTCATTTTAGATATTAGAGTCTGTTAATTGCTTTTTATTTCCCTCTTTAATATGTAGTCGTCTTTGTTTTAAGAGCTTGTACAAATTTTGTTTTTATTCTATTTTAGAAGATCTTGATCTTCGGGAATGTGGAATACTCTCTTGCCGTCCACATTTCTTGCAGCGCTTTGCGAGTATCCGAATATTTGTCTTCCTGTCATGTGTTTTAGTTACTGTTCAACAAGCATTGTCTTCAGGTTATTTCAATAGGTATTACTCATAATATTTTATGCTTAAAAATAAAGTGCTGTTTTAATAGTTTATTTTAAATTAAAACGTGGTTTTCAATTGTATCACTTTTCTGTATTTTATATTTAGAAGAATATAATGTAAATTATCCCTTTAATGGGAGGAGAAATGTTTTATTATTGTAACTGAGTATATGATACAGTAAAATACTCTTAATAGCTCAGGCCAGTCATTATAATTAGATTTGTATCCCATTCTTTTAAGTTTGTAAAACATCATCATCCTAGTTATTATTGGATATACAGGGTGAACAAAATCCATGAACTAATTTAACAGCTTGTTGTTTGGGAATGGACCAACTTATTTCTTTGGTACTGGTCACTCTTTACAAGCAATTTTCAGAGTTTTTGTCACAAGTGACATAAGTTATACAATCTCGACATGTTACAAAATAACCTCTGCTTTCTCCCTCTAAATTTCTCAACTCTTTTATCTATTGATAATTTACTCATTGATAAGACCATGTTGTAACCTATAATTACTTTTACCTGTTCTGTATGGGGATTTGCCAACTTTCAAACAATGCAAAATGTTATAATTTGGCAGATTGGCAGAACCATTGGTTCATTCCTATTCTTGCAATTTGCGAAGGATCCAAAGTGAACTGCTGGCCTTGCAAAATGCGACACCATGAAGAAAGCATTCAAACAGCATGAAACTTTTGCTTCATGTATATACTGCAATCAACATGTTCATGTATCAACTCTTTACTGCAAATGATTACAATTTCAACACATGTGCACATCATGGGCGACTACAATGCTCCTTACAATCTGTATATACAGGGAGGAAAGACTGCTGTTTTGAATAATGTCAATTGTTCTCATGTGAGATTTTTTTTGTGTATGCAGCTTTAGTATACCTCATACAGAAAAATGTGAGCAAGTATGGAATCAGTGAGTGCAGGAGGGAATAATTGACCTGCAAGAGCATTTGCAACTCTCTGCAGGAAGATCGACATATTTTACGCATGGAACTGATGGAGCGCACTGCCATATCTGCAACTATATCACAAAGAATGCAGTCTGTAACACAACATTCGGTATTTGCTGAGTAATTTGACGTCATTTACAGTACTGTGAACTGTATGCTAGACCTTTAAATCATAGAAGTCTGTATTTGCAGTGATGTACTGAATGGCAAAGATGGACATCCAAATGGCATGACATTGTGTTTTTGAATTAATGATGCTTCTGCCTGTGGTACCACGAAGGTCAGGTTAGAGTTTGAAGAAACTGTTTAGAGAGGCTGCACGACTGTTTTGTTATGCATTGTCATACTGGTCCTGCATCCAGTGTTATGGTGTGGGATGGTACTGGATTCCAATCCTGTGCTCGCATTACCAGTACGCTTACCAGCCAGTGCTCTTATCTGTAAGATCTTGCAGCTGTTTCTCCTTCCTTACCTTCAGCACTTTCCTGTGGCCACATTTCAACAGGATATTGTGTAATCACATGTTGCATGCTGTGTTCAGGCTTTCGTAGCTACTGTATCGCATTGTTAATCCTGGCTTGCCTGTTCTCCAAATCTGTTGCCCATTGAACATGTTTGGTCAATGACTGGAGAATGCCTATCCTGGCATGCAGCAGTGATGTGTAATCAGATGAACTTTTGTGTGGAGGCAGCATGGGCTGCCATTCCCCAGCAACATATCTTTCACTCAATGCTGCTGTGTGTAGCAGTGGTTATTTACAAACATGGGGCAACACTCATTACTGATTCTCTTATATTTTATACTTCAAAGAAGGCTGTATTTGAACTTAACATTAATACTGTGTATAACCTCTGAAATTGGCTTTGAAATTTCTTGTCCTTCTCTGTGTTGCATTTTGGGTAGCGAGCAGTATATTGCAAATCAAGCTCTGTATGGCAAAATTAGCCAAGAAATTCTTTATGAATACCCATAAAACAAGTAAAGAAAGCACATTCCTAATCTTTCACTACAGTATTAATGACCAGAATAACACCAGAAGATGTGCATTACTAGGAGCACTGAATGAATTCCCCTCATTTTTGTTTGTTAATTAACTTAATCTTATTCTTAAATAATTATTATTGAAATAAATGTTAATAATAAATGTTTCATTTTCTTAATAGTTGATCTCTCCTTCCAATTTTGGCTCATCCTATCCAAAATTTTGTATGGCCCTGAATGCCTTCCTCCTTCAAATTTGCCTGCAAATAATCAAATTTCATTTTTACCATCTCATCCAACCTCCTATCCCTACAAATTAGCTGTTCAGATGCTCCTCTCTTTACTGCTGAATGGCTCCACCTTCACAGCAAAATGGTTTTTTTTCGCTCAACTCTCAAAAGGACTTTTTGAAATGATTTTAAGTATAATTGCTTGTCAGTCTACGTGTTCAATACTAAGAAAATGCTATGCATATCCAAATTATGTTTTTTTGATTTTCACGTACTCTATACAGGATACTTTGGGACTTGCAACCATGACTTTGTCACCTGACTAGATGATGTCTGGTTGACAGTCCTCCAACTCTGGTCAAATGTAACTAATCAGTATATTGAGGTACATTCCAGCTGTTACTGTTTATTCATGGAATAAAAATGGTCTTAAATTCTTGTAATGCCAGCATCGATACCAAACATTCATTTCATGCTGTCCCGCTTCAACTCTGTTGCAACATGAAGATTTTTGGATCATCAATTTATGTGTATATTTAAACCAAACAAATTATTGGTGAAAAACTTTGATATATATGTAATGACACCAAAAAAATTTACAACAGTAAAATCTCTACCTATTTTTGTACCTATAAGTTGTTTGTGGACATCTACATTTGTACATACTCAGTTTTTTGGAGGAATAAAAATTGCATTTTGATATTGGTTTTTATAAATCAAACTTTGCTTTTATAAATTTCAACAAATATTATGAAATATCTGCTTTTAATGTTTTATGTATATATCTTTGAAGAATATGAATATTAAAATGTAAAGTTCCTTTTTCTTTTGCAGTGTTATAACTACTATTGAGAAAAGGTTTGATATTCCCAGTCGTGTTTCTGGAGCCATTGCAAGTACTTTTGAAATTGGTAATTTACTTACCATAATATTTGTCAGTTACCTTGGCAGTCATAGACATATACCTGTCTGGATTGGTAAAGGTATGTTTATTGTTTCAGTTTTCATATTTCATACCCATATACCTTGTATTGTGCCTTTTTTAATTGCTTAATATACTGGCTGAACCTATGTCTCATTTTATTTTCATGTTGGAAAATGTGATACCAATTGATCCTTGCTCCTGAGTGCCTTTTCATTTTAATAAAAACCTGATTTGATTCTGTTTGTGTAAATACTTCAGAATGTGCTTAAATATTAGAGACTAAATATGCTTGGAGACAAATTATGGAAATGTTGTTAGTAGTTGATGTGTAAATACGTTAATTAGAATTTGCAAGTCCTTGCCAGTCTGAAGTGTGTTTCTGTTCTATAGCATTAATTATGGTTACTAAATGGAAATGTTAAAAGAGGCATATGTGTGCATTATCATTGATATTCAGGAATAATTCATATTCATTAAAATGGGTGAATTTTGCACAAGAAAATTAGAAGTAGAAGTATATCAATATTCTAATGTCCATTACTTCTTTGTGTATCATTTATATCTCTTGGCTAAGTAAAAAAGTTATAATTTATCATATAAGACCGCGTTGTCCAACTTATCATAGCCCATAGTAGGAATACCGTAGTAGGAATCTCTTTACTGGTTTGAGTAAGAGTCAGCAATCGTCATCTGATCGAGTAATGTCCAGGTGTTAATAGTTCTGGTTCATTTGGATCACTGAAACATGAGAGAGAGGCCAGGAGTTGATAATTGCCTGTGTTTCTATCAATATGATTTCCAGTTCTTGAAACAAAACTAATATTACTTCTTAAGAGTCTCCTTAAAGACATCTTAACTGACTTGACTAAGCATTGCCAAAAGCTGCACCAACAGGTAGCACTTTCAACAATAAATTTTCATTTGAACGATAACTTCAGAAGTAAATTTTGCTCTTTTTCTCCTTTTATGGTTTTTCACAGCAAATTCAATTCTTGGTGTTCCTTGTGGAATGAATGTCCTTGCATTATAACTATATTATCTCACATTGTCACTGCAAATGCCTTTCCTTCCAAGAACCAATTTTCTTTACTAGCAATTTTTACCAACACTTTCAATTTTTGATAATTACCTTTGATCCTGTGAAGAATAATCATTGAATCAGACCAGAAATAAAATCTATATATTTCAGAAGTTCCAAGTTGTTTCGAATGTGCTAAAATAATCTGGCTCCAACAAGACCTGCAAGAAGCTCCAACTTAGGTAATGTAATTTCATGCACTGGTGCAACTTTTGATTTTGAGGCTACTAAAACTGAACTAGATTTTCCGATCGCTGTAACATAAATAAATCGTAGCTCCATAGGCACTTTTACATCCATCTTCAAATCAATAAGGTTGCCAGTTAGTTAATTCATCATTTTTTTTTTTTTTTTTTTTTTAGTTTAAATAAAATGCCATGGGTTCGGTCAATTACTGCATACTACTAGTCTTCATACTAGTCTTGATATGCTTTCACCAAATCTGGTGGTAAAGGTTCATTGCAGTTCAGCTTTTTTCCTCAGATTTCTTGAAGTATCATTTTGACTCTTAACTGTGAACAGAGATATAAGTTATTCCGATTTGCTCTGAATTCTCTGTACAATTATGAACAAAATATAATTCAATTTTCTAATTTATTAATTTATATTACTTTCTAATTTAAACTTCTTATTTGAAATTATTATATTTTGTTACAGGTATTATTGTTATGGGTATTGGTTCCCTTGTATTTTCTATTCCTTACTTTCTGGAACAGCATTCTTCTGCTATTTTACTAAGGAATCTAACTCATCCCATGGATGAAAATACTTGTCAATTACCAGCTGCCACCGTCCAGTCTTCTCAAACGGCACATACAGGGTTTGTATTTGAAATTCTGCTATATATTGCTTTTGAAAGTTAATTACACATAGAGTAATAAATATTTGTTTAATGTGTATTTATTTATTTTACGAGCAATGCAGAGTGTATTTTTCAAAACTTCTTATGCTTTTTAGTGATTTAAGCTATAAAAATTATAATATTAATGATAGGAGCTATAAATATTTAACTTTAAAATGCAGTGATATTCACCTTTAATGGGTTATGTGCTTCTAATTCTTTTTCATTTTTAAATATTTTGATAAGTGGTATAATATAGTAGTTTAAATATTTTGATAAATATATGGCATTAATGGATAGTTTTCTGTACTAGCAAGAGAAGTAGGCAGCTTTGGAATTCATCAATTTTGCCCAGTAAATCTATATTAAAACATCTTGTGTATATTTTTCAGTATTGATTAAAAAAAATGTATAAAGACCTAAATAAGGTTATTAGGGAACTCTCTTATGATGACCTACTGGTATTTCTGAGAACACGAACAAATATTGATAATTATATTGTTATTCTTTAAGCTTTTTATCTCTCTAAAGTAACCAAGATCATAAAATATTTATTAAGGGAAACACCAAAATGTCTAATTTCACTATCAAAATATTTTATTTACTAAGCGAAATCAAGGTCTTCCTTCCAGTTCTTACTATAACAGTAATATTGTTTATATGTACACTTATTTAATTTAAAAGGAAATTAAAGAGGAATATAAGTAGGGAATTTATGGTAGATGAATATTGCCTCAGAATTACAGTTTAATACAACTTTCATATACTATAGTTTTATATAATAAAATGAAAAGTATTTGTGTTTTATAGGCACTTTATTAATCCGCCTTCGCATGAAACTGACCCAACTGTATGTAACGAAGGAAGATCTTCCAATACTTTGTATATTTTAATTTTCATGATAGCCCAGATATTAATAGGCAGTGGGGGAACTCCAATCTTCACTTTAGGAACAACATATATAGATGACCATGTGAAGAAAGAAAGCTCTTCTATGTATATTGGTAAGCTTTTTTCTTTTCTTTCCCCTATTTTATAAATTTATATTTTGGAAGCAAATGGATTATTATTTATGATTTGTGCACTGGCATTGTTACCGAAGTGATTATTTTATTAATTCAGTAAATAAAATTTCCCCTTTAGTTCATTCTAAAATCAAGTTAAGAAGCAACTTTAGATTTGTGTAGGTTTTGAATACAGTTTTGTAAATATTATGGGCAATCTGACATACCTCCTTTTTCTTCAGGAACGAAACAAATTTTGTCTGTCTTTTGGCTGTTAAATCCAAGTTCAGAAATGATTTGATGAATTAGCCACATACATGACCAGCTGCCTAAAGCAGTTATTATAAAAAAGAAAAAGATATATAATGATTTAATGAATCCAGTTAATATAATTTCATGGGTCTAGCTAGTAATTGATAATGATTAAATGTATCTTATTGCTTTTAAATCGCTGAGTTTATTAATTAATAACAATAAATTTGAAAGAAAGATGAAATATCTTGCATTTCACTAAACGGTAAGATGGTTTGTGGAAAATGAAAATATTTTATGTTAGACAGTGGCAATGCATTTCTTTGAATTCTTTTATTAAATTTGAAATACAAATAGCATTTTGCTCAAAAGTAACATTTTTACATCACTGAATTTTCTGATTAAATTTGAGATGTAAAAATTTTATGCTTTGCCAAGTGGCAACATAAAGCTTTTATATTCCTGAGTTTTTAATCCCAAGTTTCTTAAATTTGCACAATGTGAAATAAAAAAAAAATCAAAATTTGGTCATCTTGGGGCATATGATCCAGTAGAGGACTATGCATGTTCAAAATCTGGTGGCTGTAAATTCCACCATTTTTCTATAATGCAGTTAAATTTGAAAGACAAGTATATTATGCATTGCTCAGTGGCAACTTGCTTCTATTATAATGCTGAGTTTTCTGATTAAATTTGAAATATAAATATCTTACTCTTTGCAGAATGGCAACACAGAGCTTTTAAACCACTGAGTTTTTAATTAGAAGTTCCTTAAATTTGCATAAAATATGAAATAAATAAAAACAAACTCAGAATTCAGGCTTCAAGGTGTTGGAGTGGAGGGCTATGTGTTCAAAATATGGTAACTTTGTGTGCTATCATTTTTCCATATGTGAGAAACATACATACATACATACATACATACATAAATAAATACAGATTCTTCATTATTTAATAGTGGAGGTAATCTCTGTGCATGAGTTTGCAGTAGCAGCTGCAGTAAACTTTCCAATAATTTATTTTAGAAACACTTTCTTATTCTGAGATACTATATAACCAAAGCCCCACTCATCTTGAATATATGCTGCTGATTTCCTACCACATTATTTACAATCAGTGCAGTTTTTGCTGAACTTCCCATATTGTGGATATGCTTTTGCTACAGTATTATATGAAACATCCAAACGTTTTGTAGTAACGAAAAGTGCCTGAAACCTACAATTTGCCTGTGAACAAGCTTACTTAAATTACTTAACCCATGATAACTGACTCTTTTTTGATGTATGAAACTCTTAATTTTGAAAGTACTATTCATTACGTACTTAGTGGAATTAACTGGCAATCTATCCTGTGATACTGAACAAAAGGGCTTATTTTGATTTCTTAAGATGTTTTATAACTTGGTTACATGAAGAATTTCTACTTTTTTAACCATTTCATTTTCCTGTACTTTTGGCCAGTTTTAAAACTAAGATTTAAAATGCATTGCCATCTTGGATGGTTTCTCTTGAAAGACTTGTAGCAGAAGATGACATTGTAGTTCGACCCAAGTTCCCTTCTTCCTTGTTAACATAAGTTAACATGACTTCATTTCAGTTTAGCCAACAGTTGAATCACACCTAGAAAAGCACAGGCTTTTTTATTTGTTCTTAGTTTTGTGCTATTCAACCTCTACAGGCATTATCAGTTTGTTTCTTTTTCCCTTTATTGGTAAACCTTAAGCAAGGTTCATCTAAGTTCTGGCAACCCAGTTGGCTTCCATTCTTTAAGCAATTGAAACATTCTGTTGTAGGAAGGTTTAAGGAAAGGCATGTTTGTCTTATATTTAATTTTCGTTGTTCTCAATTTAAAATTTCTCATAATTAACTTAACACTGCTCCAGCAGTTTATGATTATCTTTTGGCATAAATTTTCAAAATTCACAAAAAGAGTTAATTTTTTCAATAGTTGAGCCAGTCCCTATATTAGGCTTTATAAAAGTTAATTTTTTAAATAATTGAGTCAACCCTTGTATTAGGCTTTATATAATTCGACTGAACAATTTATTTTTCAACTTTGAATAAAAATTCGATTCAATAATTCTTGATTTAGAATATTTTTTGATTTAATTTAGTTTGAGTAAATAGTTTGTTTTTAGCTTTTTAATGTTTTTTTTTTAGGTTGATTGAGTACAAATGCATGTGGGGAAAAGATCTGAACATTTGAAAACTTTTAGAATTTTGTTTTAAAATGAAATTTTGATACTTAAAAGTGGTTTTGAGTTTCAAATGATTCAAAGGAGCAAAACAAGTATTCAGAACTCACTAATCAACTTGGTTTAAGGCTTCAAAACATTTTTCTATGGACAAATTCTGTTTGAAGCATTAAACAGAGGAGATTAATATATAATTATTCCCTTTTTGTCATGTACAATGTTTTGTAATTTAAAAAAAAAAAAATTTGTTTTCACAATCTAATTTTTATTTAAAGGTTCCGTTTTTGAACATTTCATTAATTTGTGTTTATTCAGTTTGGTAATTTTAACCCGGAGAAGAAAGCTTAGACCTTCATATAGAAGGGACAGAATTTTATTCATTTTTGTTCTGACTTTATTTTGATATATATATATATGTATATATAATTCATCAAGCTTGTATCTTTCGGCAGTTTTGATTAATACTTACATGTTCCTATCAAATCTGTATATAATAGCGTGTCATCCCAGTGTATGAAAGCAGGTTATTTTTATGAATTTATTATGCAGTCTTTTTTAATTAGCAAATTTCTAAAAACTGTGAAACTCCAGAAATGCTGCTACTCATTTTAAAGCATTTTTCATTGTGCCTATAGTTAATTATTTTTAAAACAAGGTAGTGAGAAATTTATTTGAAAATATATCTGTTAATGTAAGTTAAAAATATAAACAATACATCATGTTCACTTTCAAAAATATATATTATTTTCTTTTAGCATTTACCAATTTTGATCTTAGGACATTTTTGGAACTACGGCACCTGCTGCTTGAAATCACGCTAAAGGGTATTTGAATTTATTAAGTGCTTGAGGTTAACAGATGGCAATTTGCATATTACAAACTGATATCAATTTTAAACTTTTGAAGTAAAATTATAACTAACAGCTAATTCACTAATTAATCCAAAAGTAATTATTAAAGATTATTACCAAAATCAATTTATTATGAATTAAATTTTTTTTTCTAAAAATATTATTAATTACATTCTTGGTGAAATTTTATCTCTTACAAGCATATTATTCTATCTGTGTTTGCTTCTTATTGTTTAACAATAGTTTTTCAGTGGTATTTTTTAAAACTGTGGATAACTTTTTTGATCAGCATTTTCCAATTCAAGAAAATTTTGTTTAGAATTTTCAGCACTTTTCTAGACTTGATGATGATAGCATATCATCACTTTTTTCTGTATCCCTTTCACTGTCAGTTTCTGCAGTTCTTTTAACTCTTTCTTAGTCAGTTTTTGCACTTATCATCTGAATATTGTTGTGAATTGACCCATGTCCTAAATATTAATATTCATAAATTCCCTTTTGATGTCTAAACCATTAGCTGTAGTTTGCAATTCTGAGGCTTCTTCTTCATAAAATCCATATTTTCAAAAACAGTTTTTAACTGATTTTAAGAAATTAACACTTTACACAGTATGCATGGCTTCTCGAATTGGTTGGTAATCAAGAAGGTGTACGAGTGTTGGTATTTGAGATAGTATCCGAGTGTTGGTATTCCAGAAGGTATCGACTGATCTTTTTTAAAATTCTTTGAATGTTTGAATTTTCACAAAAGTCAATTCTTTTTATTTACTAAGCATCTTTCTGTAATTACATATGAAAACTTTTATAATACCTTAAAAATTAAAGCTTGAATGTTAGAAATTGTTTTTTCAGGAAGCGACACTAATGTTTTTCAGAAAGAGATTAGGGATGTGTGTACTGCACATTTATTTAACTAATAAAGCTAATTTTTCTTCCACTATCCGATTTTAGAAGACATTCAGTAAAAATATTATTTGTCATCCATGAGCTCTTGTTTCTCTGGAAATTAAATTCTTGACTCCTTTCAAACATAAGGATTTTTATGTCAGTAACCAGTTCTGTCTTCCTAATTGTTGGTTCAATATTACGCACTAATAACACAATAACTTATTTCTTCAATTTCTCAAACCAACTGCTGTTTCACTTTTAAATAATAATGTGTGTTTTATAATGTTCTGTAAGTCAGCCCAAGTAAAACATCTTGTATCCAATTATCAGCTGTATGATAATGTGCTTCTTTCTTCTCACCATGCAATTTCTGATAAACAGTGTTGGATTTCTCTTTCTCCATGAGTCATATTTGAGTCTGTATAAAATTCTCTCCTAGCATTTTAGTAGGAAAGCTGTAGAAATAGAAGCAATTTTTAGCTTTATAGCTTGAAACTATTCTAGAAAAACAATTTGAATATCTTTTGATTTTCTTTCTTTTTAGTTAGTTCTTCATTAATTATAAGTCCTTGTTCAAGTAATTTGCACAATGCTATTTAGGAAGCATTTCACAATTTTTTTAATAATTATGTTAATATAATGAGTTAATCTCAAAGTTTCAAAAAGAAGAATTTGAATGTACAAAACTTGAAAGATGGGATACAGAAGTTCCACTACCACATCCTATCTGTTGGTATTCAAGAAGGAACCTTTACTCATTTATTATGCCTTCAGAGCAGTGGTTCTCAACCTTTTTTGCTGTGTGCACTCTTTTCAGCATTGCTGGATTTTCCCCTCCGCTCCTTTTGAAAACTTGTAATATATATGCAAGATATCTAAATATGAAGAAAAATTTATTAGCAAATTAAATTTAATTGGAATAGTCCTTTAAATTCTTAAATTTATTTGCATACATCGCCTCTTCAAAGCTCCATGTTGTACCATATTAAATCACACTTTCCCTCCAGTAAAGCAATACGAAACCTTTTTCTCAGTTGCTGTTCAGGATTAAAACAAAGACTTTCCAATCTTATAAATAGTACTGCAATTTACTACACATCTTCTTTCAGCACTTCTCCTTCCTGCTGGCAATGTGTTGCTTAGCCTGTGCTAGCTATTCTCCCTAATATAAAGTGTAAACTGCATATCTAAAATTGTGGGGCATCTTTAGCACCCCCCTTTTTTTTCTATCAACTAAGAAAATATGTGCCAAGAAATTCATCACTCAAAAAATAAATATTGTTACTACCAAACTTGCATGCTTCTTTCAAAATTCCATTTGGACATACACTACACAGCAATTTCCAGTAACCTATGTAGCGGTTTTTTGCCATGATTAAAAAGTAAATAAACACCTTTCCTAATCAAGCTGTGGTCTAATATTAAGTTAATTTTCTAACATGTTTTATAAAATTAAATGACAAAAAGCATGGGAAGTGTTGGTAAATACTAAAAATTTAATAAAAGTAGCCCCCCTTTCTTTATATATTTGTAAATTAAACTAAATATTTAACAGTTAAATAAAAACCTGACTGCATCCCCCCCTCTAAAATTCCTCCTCATAAGGAAATTCACCTCTAATTGGAATCCCACTCTAGAGCACCGTTTTTGTTAAACTTGAAATAAGGAAATTGTCCCGCTGAAGTCCAGTACAGACAAAGAAATCTGAAAACAGTGTCTCACAGGTACAGATACTGGGGTATAAGAAAATTTAGGTCAAATCCCTTTATTGAAGTATTACGTACCCAAATGATAAAGACATGGCCCACAATACATTAAATGCACGAACTGCGGAAATCTTTGTTAGTAGGATTTTCTGATGCCGAATAATGTCTTTTGCCAATCTGATTTTAATAAGTGGAGAAGATGAGTTTAATATATTGCAGTTTTTTTATTGATTAGTATGTATTTCTTTGGTTCCAGGAAATTTGAACGTTAGCCGAGTTTATTGGCTAATGAGTGGCAGGTACCGTAGGTCATATTTGTACTATGCTTAAGTGTATAATATTTTCATCTTTAATTGTTAACATGTAATGAAAATAACTCTTATTTACAAAATTTTTAAACTTATTTTTAATTATTTCAGGATGCATGTACAGTATGGTTGCATTTGGTTTAGTGTGTGGCTTTTTACTTGGAGGGTATTTGCTGTCCTTTCATGAAGATTATTTATTGTACAATACTGTGCCTCCAAATTTATATCCTGGTCACCCAAGATGGATTGGAGCTTGGTGGGTAGGATTTGTCATATGTGGCATTCTTCTTTTGTTGGTAAGTTTATACTCCTGTACAAAAATATAAAAAAAAGAGATTATTTTAAGGATCTCTGTTCAGAAATCTGAAATTGTGTGATCAGATAGAATTTTTCAAACCCCTTAAATTAATTTTTAGAGTTGTATTTTGTAGTGAAGGAAATTGTGTATCTTTTAATTGTGCTAATTAGAAAACTTGCATAGTAGATTCTGCTTAATGTGATCTTGTTTTATGTTATCATTGGGTATCGTTATCGAATTGCTAAAGTCTGGCCTGTTTATATATGGAAACATGAAAAATACTTTACTTATTTCGATCAACAATTCAGTTAATGTGATCAAAATATTTTAGAATAAATTTCTTAAAACTGAAGTAAAATTGCCAAATAAGATCAAAATATATTATAAAATTTAGCGAGTGACAGAGACATGTCGTCATGTAAGAGATTAAATTATCAAATAGCTTGATTTTGATTTTAATTAACCATTTAAAACTAAACAGAGTAGCATTCTGAATAACTATCAATTTTGAGGGTATTCAGACATGGGTCTCTCCTTCTGGAGGGGAAAAAAATCTGCAAAGTTCACCTTTTCCCCCCCCTCTCTCCTAGGGATGTAATCCATGAAACATTTACTAAGGTTGCTTTATTTGCTTAATTTTTAATTTTGCGTTGGCATGGTCTATTTCAACAGGACATGCCCTGCAAGTATGAAGATTAGGGGTTCAGCATGGATCTAATAATTTCTAGAAACATTATGAACACCTATAAATGAACCTTTGCATTAAAGACTTTGTGAATGTAGTTCCTAAAAAATGTTTGTTTTTTCCTAATTAAAATGCTGTTTCCATTGGTATTTCGAAGGGCATTTTTTCCTCATCATTCAGTATTATCATTTGGTTAATGTTATCCAAGGTAGTTATGGACAAATCTGATTACATTAAGTAGCACATACTATATTTAATAAGAAGAATTTTTTTTTCTTTCTCTTGCAAATTCTAGCATTTTTCTGAGCAGAAATTAACACCGGCTAGTTTATATTTTTTTACAGTTAATGAAATATGCAGAAAAATTTGTGTTTATCAATTTTTTTTATATTTAATTTAGTACATATTTCTGTTATATTTTCTGTCTTTAGAACTTTAGTCTTTGCATGCAAAACTGGCAATTCCTTTGGAATATGTATAAAATGTACATTTAAAAAAAGAGGAGCTAAGAAAGGAATTTTATATGCTTAAAATGCTATGCTTCTTCTCTCTTTCCTCTGTAAAGTTTGCAGTGCAAGGGAAGTGCAAAAAAATGTCTGAATTGAGATTTTGATAAATCATGAATTGAAGGTCTTTGAATTCTTTTTATTTTTTTAAAATTTTTTGCCTAATTATTTAAGTCTTTAGTAATTCATACATATGTTAAACTTTAGTACATCTAGATTTAACATATTAGAGTGATCTAAAATATTTTATAGATACTTTGTTTTTGAAATATCACATTAAAAATATTTGGTTTTGAACATTAAAATTCTAAACTTTTAAGAAAAGTGCTATATTGGAAATTGTGTTTATACAAACATCTTTTCATCCCATATTAATTGGACTTGATTTGTTTTTAAAGTAATATTTCCCTCTTTTTTTAATCAAGAATATGGATTTTATAATAGTTGAAGATCAGCAGAAAGATTCTAGCATTATTTTAATCCAACTGTGTTTCTTCAAAGCAAAATGTGTAGTTATTTTCTTAGATTTCAAATTATGATTTCAAATTATTTATATATTTAGATGAATGCCAATATATACACAAGATTTTATGTAATTTTTTAAAGTAAATTTAGGTATATATGTATGTGTTCATTTTTTATTAAATTGCATATTGATGAAATTGTTTGATGTTTATTTTGATATTTTTATGCTCCTGTCCCTGATAAAAACCACTGAGCAGAAATTTTATTTAAGATTTTAAACAGTTTGCTTGTTTTCAGTTTTGTGAATTTTTTAAGCCAATAGTATAACTGTGTATCATCTTTTATATTCTTATAATTTTAAAATGTGAGTCAAGAATAACGTCTAAAATCATATTTGTAATTCAAATGGCTAAGTTGTTTTGAAATTTTAATTTTGGGTATTTAATTTAGAATAATATGTTTATTATTTTTAGGTATCCATTCCATATTTTGCTTTTCCAAAAGTGCTTCTGAGAGAAAAGCAGCGGTTACGTTGGGAAGAGAAAGGTGAATATTACAGCACTCGCCGTCTTAAAAGTGAAAGTAACACACTTGAGAGGCAAAATGGACAAGAGATGGTTACATATTCTGAACAAAATTCAAGAGAAAAATCAAAGGAATATGGCAAAGATATTAAAGGTATTATTTTAAGTCGTTATAATGATAAATTTCTGTTTAAATTTAGAAAATTATACCAGTTAAGATTCCATGATATTTTGATTTAAATAGAAGTCTGTATTAATTTTCTTAGTTGTTATTAGCATTGAAATAGTCTGCAAAAGTGCTGTTTTTGTATTTGGCCATAAGTAAGGTAAGATGGTATTCTTTCATATGAACTATGTATAATTTTAACTATGCAAATGACATCTTTTTTTTAATTATATATTTTTCTTAGAGTTGTATATTATTGATGTGCAAAAATTAATTCAAGATTTCATTCTTTGTATTATGATAACTATCTGTTATATTTATTTAATCATAAGATGCATTGCTTTTCATATGTAAATGCTTTCAAGAAGAGGTACATCCAGAATTTGGGATGACATCTGAGGATGTGTTTTTCTCTTTCTGAACTTTTATGTAGAAATTTGTGGAGAAAAAAGTGTTAACTTCAGCTGATTCTCAATTTTAGCAATCTGTTTCATACCATGAAATAGTTTGTAAAATTCATAGATTGTATATAGGAGTAGCATTTAGCAAAAACAAGAGAAGGGGGCATGTGTTTTACACCAACCTGTATTTTTTTAGATTCCATAAAATCACTATTTCAGTTGTTTTATACAAGGTATGCACATAAAGTAATGAGACAAAATCTTATAAATAAGAAAAAAGATTACTAAACTTCAAATAAATGCATCTTCTTCAAAATAATCACGAGAAAAGTCTATGCAATTTTTCCAGTGTTTCAAGTCATCGAAGCACCATTTATAGGCTTTGGAATTAATCATTCGTAAAACATGCATAACATTTGACTTAATAGGCAAGATATTTTCAAATATCTGTCCTTTCATGGCTATCTTAACCTTCGGGAAAGGGGAGGGAAAAAGCTGATAATAATATGGGAGTTGATTTATCACTGCAGTTAGTTGAATGTTTAGCATACAGACAATGATGTATGAGGCTTTCCATTATTATGTAAAAAAAAAAAAAAACCATTACACAGAATCAACAACTTCCTTTCCAACTCATCCTGTTCTTTAATTGGGAAAGCATCTCCTTGTAAAAATACTGATTGAGACAAATAAGATTACAACTACAGTTAAGAATGAAAAGTTAGGAATAATTTGCTTGAAAGATTAGATTTCAGAGTGTGCTATATTATGGGTTCACATTTTTTTTTTTTTTTTTTTTTTTTTTAAATGTAGTTTAGTGTGTTTTTGTGGGTAAAGGAACAAAAATGCAAGTATTATGCAGATATTCTCTAAAAGTATAGATTAAAGATATATGTATACAGTAAATATTCAGTATATGTGCAGTGAATATAAATTTATACTCATTTTAATAAATATTGGAACATTTTTTTATCGGTATAACTTTTTTAATGTTTCAAATTTTTCTCTGCTCTGATTTGGAATACCTATGAAATAACCCACTTATATTATTATCTGAATATTTTACTTTAGATTAATAATTTAAAATTTTTAAATAAGTATAAAATATTTTGCAAGATTTTTTACATATTTTTGCATGGCCGTAATGGATTTTAATACACATTTTTTTTCTGTATTGTGTTACTTGTGTAATTCTTTTCTTGTTAGCATTAAATGTATTAAATGTATTAAAGGGTTCATGCATTTACTTTTTTCTCCATTTTCAAATTAGATATTCCTGCTTCAATGTGGCGTCTTTTGAGTAATCCTATTTATGTTGTAACTTGTCTTGGGTCATGTATGGAACTTTCTATTGTAAATGGTTTCCTTGTCTTCCTACCCAAGTACCTAGAAACACAATTCAGCATTGGGAAGTCTCAAGCAAGTATTTTTACCGGTATGCATTTTTCATTTCTTTCATAATTCTTGGTATTTTATTAAATCTTACTCATATCTGTGAATGATTTAATGCTGTAATTTTTAGATACTTATTTACATTATATTGCGAATAGCTGCTGGACATCCTTAAGAATGTCTTTATCAGAAGCTCAAGTGACAGAAGTACAATGTTGGTCTTACATTCAGTTCTATTTTTAACCTTCAAGAAAGACTTTTACTCAGTGTCTACAAATATTTGTAGATATTTTATGCCATTCCTGTTATAGCATCATGAAGAGCTGTTGGTTCATTTTGGTCTTTTAGTCTTCATTGAGCAGTTTATTCTGGCTTGTACTTGCTCTGGCTCATCTGAAATGGCTTAAGACCAGGGTTTTAAGCCAGCCAAGCAAGTTCATTCTCCTCCCATATTCCCAAACCATTTAGTTAGATGTCTGCTTTATAAAAGGGCTCATTATGATGAAGAAGTGGTCTAGTCTAAACTGTTGTTGTAGGTTGTACTGCATTGTCCAATAATTTTCTTAGCTCTTGACATTCAGGATTCTGGCCACAAAAACTATAATATGCCAAGGCCAAATGAAGAAAAATTAACCACATGAGATTCTATGCCAGTCACACAATCAGGACCCCAAAACTCCAGTAATAAGTGCTTGCCTTAGTAATTGCCATGTTCATCGTATTTTTTAGATCTCCTTAGTATGTAGCATATCTTGTTTATTTTTCAAGATGTTCATTGTTGCAGTATCCACTGGCAATTCACATAATTCCATTGTTTCTAATAATCATCATTCTATGTAGTGATCATTGCCAGCTCATCTGTGGAGTAAAGTACAAACAACTTTTGATGGTGAGAGCTGGCATCACTTCCCGAGGGCAGTTGAAAGTTTGTAGCTACAGTTTCTTACTTAGCTTATTGGTTTGATTTCACAACATATAAGTGATCTTGATTTGCAATATTTTTAGCTTCCCATACTGGGATTCAGTTTGGTAGCAAAATCTACCAAATGACTACCAAAACTGCCAAACTGAGACATTTAAAAACATGTCTTATACAATTGTCACTCGTTATTGCCTGCTGTATCCACAATTTTCCAGAATTCTTTATGGATGAAATGACTGAATTAGTGGTCATGAATATATGCCTATTTGAGCCTCACCTAGACTGCATCTGTATTTGTGTCAGTTACAGCAGCCTGATATATGCACCTAATATGAACTCCCTTAGACCATGATGTGTATCTGTGATGTATAAGTGATTCTTTGGTTCCATTTGTGCTGCCGTTAATTACTGTAAAGTATATTTTTAAAAGTCTGCAGTTTGCAGCTTTAGGTGAAAAGTTCTCAATTTCATTTTAGATTTTATCTGCTATTATATAAGATGATATTGAAGAAATGTACTTTTTCATGTAAATAATCATATTTGTAGTTTTTAACAAAAATTTTTTTGCTATGCATTTTTAAGGTGGAATAGCAATACCTGGAGCATGTGTTGGAATTTTTATGGGTGGTTATTTATTAAAACGCTTCCAACTGAAGCCTAAAGGTTAGTATAATTTTTTTAATATTTTTGAGTGTTCAGCATATTTTTAAAATGATTTTGCATTATGTTATGAATAAAATGTGTTTTTTTTTTGTGGGGGGGGGGACATGGATGTTCTCAAAATTTTTATTTGCAAAAATTTATATTCAGGCAGTTTGCTAGTGAAATATAAACATGTATGAATTATGTCTAACTTCTAAGCTGATAAATTGTAGCTTGAGATGTATTCACTATTTTTTTAAGTAAATTTTGTTAAATAACTTAAAAGCTTAAGTTGTAAGAAAAACTTTCCGTAAGCAATTTTTAATGGAATGCTTAGTACGAGGAATTTGTATAGTTGTAACATCAGAAACTGAATTACCATTAATATTGAAGATCTAGGACTGTTGATAACCTTTTTTCTGTGTAAGTTAATGGTGATTTCTTCTTCACTTTATGCAGTTTCACTTTGCAAGAGTATTTAAATAACACACTGCTTTTGTAAAATGGGGAATTCTGTGTCGTCAGATCCAGAATCATCGTAACTTCTGTGATTACGAATTTCAAAAACTTCTGAATTGTATTACCTTAAGATAACATGTAGTTATTTGTCACATTGTTATTTGTGATACTGCATGTAGTTAGTGTGAAATTAAAAATAAGAAATAGTTTCGTTTGAAATAACAAAGCATTTAGGACTGTAAGGGAATAAAGTTTACAAAAAGAGCTCAATTTTAAAATTTGTTTTACTAAACATTTCTTTCAACATAGAGTGTTTATGCAGTTTCATTTTTTTAAATTAATATCTTCTCTTTAGCATGACGTAATTTCTTGATGTCATGGTAAGGAGAAGATATTAAGACAAAATTCCATATGTAATTGCCATTTCAAGAACTCCCACTTAATACTAAACTGAAATCTCCTTATTTTAAACAACCTATTTTGATCATCTTCTTTATTACTAGTAGCAGAATTTTCAGGATTTAAAGCTATGCTATTAATTTTGAAGTTTGTTAATTTGTTAATTGACTTCAACTGGGGCATTTTCACCATAATGAAGACTTGATGTTATGATCTTCATGTAGAATTTCATCATTTCCATTAATTGGAAAATTTCGCATTTTTTTCCTGTCAAAAGTTCTATCATGGTGTTCCCCCTCCTCATTTTGTGGTATTTCGTTAGCAGTTTGGTTTAGCTTCTTTCGTAATGCAACCATAGTAACATATTTATCGTGTGTTTCATGAAATCGTTGGTCTCTCTTTCCAAGAAATGAACAAAGAACTATCCTTTCCTTCACGAAAAACTTATTCTATTCTGCACAATGAAAGGTTGTGTTTGAATAGCCACTTTGTTGTATAGAATTATTATGTATTAACAGTGCATAATGAATATATTAATTTACAGTGAATAATGACCTTATAATGTTAAAAATTTGAGAATTAATTTTTAGTATATTGTTGATTAAACTAATTTTTTGTTTGAATATGATAAAGCTCTTATTATGTTGGGGCTACCCTTGTTAGGGTCAAGGGTCGGCGGACTGCTGCGTTCTTGCCCCCTTTTTTTTTCCAAGCTAAACATGTGGTTTGCTCGTTTGGACACCAAAAAATATTTTGTCCTTTCAGAAGAAGAGAACATGTGAACTTTGACTGAATTACTGTTGAAAACATTTCATGAAGCTTTGTGTGCAAAAGGGTATGTCACTTTAAAAAGGGGGGGTCTAGTTTTCTTCGAAATTTGGAAATTAATTATTGCCGTTGTTCTGGTTGGCTAGAGAAAGTTCACGTTTTGTATTGAATTGGATAGATATTGTGAGTCAATAATGATTTTAGAGGCGGTCTGTATTTTGAGCATTACCGAGGTTTTAAAGTTGTTGTCCGAGAGGCAGAAGGAAACTTTTAGCAGTTCTTCACCTTATTGAAAATTACAAATAAAAGAGAGGACTGAATATAAAGTTTTTGACCATAGATCAGCGGCGTGGTCAAAAACTGTGGTCTGCAAGTCTAGTTTTTCGGCGACTCGAGAATTGGGTTGTCACACTTCTTAGCTGCCTCAACCATGAATGGAAAGTCACATAGGAATTACTTACAGTGTCAATATTCTCATAGTTGATACAATGAATTTTTGTTGTTTTGGAAAAAGTGCTTGCTAGCTGCTGAGGTTTTAAGCTTAAAATTTCAGTTTTTTTTTTTTTTTTTTTTTTTTTTTTTTTGTGTGTGTGTGTGTGTGTCTTAAAGAGTTGAAGAAATTTCTTGCTTGCTTGAAATGCTGAAAAAATAGATAGAAAAAATAGATGTTTTTTGATAGAAAGGATGATTTTGCGAAGTAAGGACGATCATTTCTAATTTTGTGAACATCTTAAGGAAAATCATTTCTTTGTTATTCTGGAAGACTGTGCATTTGGAACTGCGATGTGTGCAAATTTCCATTAAAAGAAAAGCTCTGCTAGGACGCCACTAAAGAAAGGAAAGAACGTTTATTATTCTTACCATTCTACCTTATTAATCTTGAGGAATGAATAATCAGCCAAGTGTTTCGATTATCTAGGACCCTATTTAAGTAGATCTGGTAGCTACAGTTCTGAGTGATCTCATTTATGGACCCTCATGTTCTGAAATCTGTGAATGATTTATTTTCACTTGCTTTTTCTTTAATAATAAATTATTAGGATTTTGGAATGTTAATTTCTAAGGCATGAGCCATCATTTTAATGTTGGATGAAAATCTGAAATGTGGCTGGTCACGTAATTAATAACTGAGATTGTGAATTTTAAAATGTTTAATTGATATAACCTAAATCAACTGCATAGATAAGGGAAAATCTTAATGTTTCATAATAAAAAGCATCTCTGATTTAATTTGTATTATATTAAGTAATTTAATTACTGAATTTTTTGTTCAGTGATAATTATACATTTATGATAAAGTATATTAGTAATTTGGTCATGATTTTGAACATCAATTGTAACACTGAGTAATTTTTAGATAATGTTTTGTAGGAGTAGTCTGGCCAACTATCTAAAATTATAATATTCTAGAAAATTTAATAAATGTATTTAATGAGTTAATATTGTATGTTTTATTTGAGTTTTATTTGGCGGTCTTACGCAGTCAACCATATGATCCTTATGGAAAACATGGTTCTATACAATTCGAACCTGAGTAACTTAGTGGGTAGTAGAGAAATTAATCTTAAGTGTGTTGTAACTATGTGATTGGATTAATTATTCTAAAATGAACTGTTGCTTTGACTTCTTACTTGTTGGATTTATCCCTCCTGAGTGTTTTGAGGTGTTCTGTGTTATATTGAAATGAAAAGTGTTTGTGGCTGTCTCTAGAATTGTACTGAAATTTATGTGTTTTCGGGAAAGTTGGTGGATTTAGTTTTATTTTATTGAGAGGTCACATTTTGAAGAATTTGATACTGAAATACATTTTGCATTTTGTTTAAACATTTTTTTTTTTTTTTAAATCTTTGTTGCAACAAAACACCAGGGAGGATACTTCTTTTCGTTATTGACTTAAAGAGTTTGAGATTTGAAATGATATCATTTAATTTACAAATGTTGATGATTTAAGGGATTTAGTTTAATCACCAGTCTCGAATTCAGATATTTTATGATCCCCCCCCCATGTGTGTGTGTATGTGTCTCCGGCCGGAGAAAGAGAAGTTGAATAAGTAAGCTAGGCAGTTTAAAGTAATTAATATTAATAATTTTTAAACATAACAAGTTCATTAAATTAAAATGTAATTTGAAGCCAAAACAGCAATGTTTTCTGGATTTAAAAACATATCACAGGTTTTGCTGACCATAAATAAATTACTGGAGCACTATCACTGCAGAAGACCAATTATATCATCTTGCTTTAGCATTTCTTCTCATGATACTTAATCAGAACTTTTTGTGTTTTACTCTGATAATGTAAAGCTTTCAAATTCATTAACGAAATATTTTTCATAATAGTAAACCATTTTGATTAAATTCTGTACTTTTATAGATCTTATTTCAGTTGAATTGTGTTCCGATGAAGAAGAGATTAATAAATAATTATACAGTTTTTCTATTTCAGAAATATTTAATTTGCATCTATTGTAAAATTAAAAATATGTCCATTTCAAAGTAGCATCAAATATCTTATATTCTAGTCATAAAAATGTTTTATAATGCGTGCAATTTTATTTCAGGTGCAATACAGTTTGTTTTATTTTTTAATATTGTGTGTATGGGCTTATATACTCTTCTGTACTTCCTGGGATGTGACAACATTCGAATGGCTGGTGCAACACTTCCATATTTTAATAAGTATGTATTATTTCATAAATGACTATGTTACTAATTATGTTAATGTCTTAATTTTTTGCATCATTAAAAATTGGAACACATTTAAATATTTAATACAAGTTTTTTTTCCCTTTCAATTTTTGTAATTGGTTTCTTAGATAGTGCCACTAAAGCATTATTTTTTAAAATTCAAATGTACAGTAAAATGATGAGTAAAAAAATGACTAACTGAGAGCAGTAGAGTGCGTACCACATAATTACCAGTGTTTTTATACTCTGTGTAGGCAGTATGTGCTGAGAGCAGTAGAGTGCGTACCACATAATTACCAGTGTTTTTATACTCTGGGTAGGCAGTATGTGCTTTACTTGCCATGCAGTACATAGCTTGGAAACATTTAGGTGACAGTAGGTTAAATAAATGTCAATTAATTAGTTTCAAAATATATTTTACTGCAGTTTCTTGCATCCATGCAAAATTTAATACCTTGATATGGTGCTTGTAGCCATGTCTTAATCTGGTCTTGGTGATATTAGCGTTCTAATTGATTGCTTGTGATATTGTAATGAACTGAAATAATACATATGAAAGCTTGCTCATGTTATTGAGATCAAATTTAATACTAAACTTGAACAGTTTTAGTCAAATTAGAACTGTATTATAAATTTGTTATTTATGTTTAATTATTTAATATTGATGTTTTTGATAATGTGATAAAATAGGTTTTCTTTTTCTGTTTATTTCAGTGAATTTTATGTAGTAGTAAGGAATATTTGAGTTTATTATTTTGTAGTAAATTGGAAATATTAATTGGATTTCACGTAATTATAGTGTAATTTAGTAAGCTTAATAAGCTATTGATCATCTTTATTCCTGTTAGATGAAATTATCTTTCAACTCTAGCAGATTAAAATAAGTTGGAATTTTTACTTATTTTACAGTACTTTAGATCATTGTCTAATAATGAAGATTAATTGTATGATTTTGTAATATATTTATTATAATAAAGTGGAATTTATGAATAAATTTCTTTTTACAGTACACTGAATGCTGACTTGGAGCCATTCCAAGTGAATTTAACAGCTGATTGTAATATGGGTTGTCGCTGTAGTCCAAATGAAATTGAGCCTGTATGTGGAAGCAATGGAATAACGTATTTTTCTCCATGCCATGCAGGTTGTAAAGCTGAAGGTGACCATAAATTAAATGTAAGCAATTTTTTACTATTCTTTTTTTTAATTATAATTAACAAGTTAGCTATTATTGTTTACTGTAGCTGATCTCTTTTTAAAATTTTTCTGGATATTCAATCATGCATATAAAAAAGTTATTGAAAAGTGTTGCCGTAATATTGAATTCTTTCCCTAGCAGAGAAATATATTATTCAAATATATAATGATGCTAGAAACAACTGTTGTAGTCTTCAAACAATTTTGAAGACTCAAACAATTTTGAAGACTAACATACATTGCATTGTGACTGCACTGCTAAATAATAGTCATTTATTTCTTTGGCAAGTACTGTGACTGTAACTTTATATTGCTCCACATTAGTGATTCAAAAACGTTACATTACGGGAATGAAGAATGACATTCATAATCCTTGGTGTTCTTTCAATTCATTTTAACAATTTATTTAAGTTTAATACACAGTCCCACATCAGTGACTTATGACACCGGTAAGTCACCAGTGCTTAGCTGCTTTAATGAGCACTAGTATCCTTCAGTTTAATTTTATCTAAATTTGCTCCACCACTTCACATCAGTGACATATGAGTTAACCTTAAATGACTGCCTATCTGTCAGTCACTTGTGATCAGCATTCATTTGCTCATAAAACATATCATTTGTCCAGATTTTAAATGCTTAAAAAATAAATATTGTCTTTAATATAGTAAAATTTGTTTTTCAAGGTGGAGGATTTGTTAACTGCATTTTCATATGATGTATGTTTTCATTAATAATGTTGCATCTCTTCTTAAACTGAATGTCTAATTTGAATTTGTAATTTGAATGAAACCAAAGTTATAAGCTTAGCAAAAACTGAATATAAACATTTTTCATAAAAGGGAAAATTGTAATGTAAGCTCTGGTGCATTGTCTACAAAATCCAAAAAATTCTGTTTTTACTCTTAAATTTTTAAAATCTTAGCAGAATGTTTCCTTATAATGAAAATTTTTAACAAGTATGTGATAAGACATTGAGGGGAGCAATTGTTCTTCACTTTTTATTCTGGCCATGGGTCAAACGTTTTAGAGAAGAAGAATCATGGCTTCCATCAAACTTATAAATACTAAAATTATGGAAAAGACAATGAATTACCCAACCAAACCCAAATAGATCATAAAAGGGACTACTGAATTAAAATTGTATATATATATTTTTACAAATGGCAGGCACTTGCTTGTAATGGCATTGACCACTACTGAGGCCAGAAGTGGTGACCATTTTATTGTGGAGGCACCTAATAGGCAGCCATCGTTACCTCCTATGAAGAGACAGATAATTTTACATCCATGCCTTCTCCAGGATCTGAACCCGGGCCCTTTGGTATTTCAGTCAGGCCTGCCCTAACCATTATACCGTCTGGGTGGCAAAATGATCATGCAGCCAACTCGTTCGCAGTTTCGGACCGAGGACCGAACTACCAGTGTTTAGCGTCTTTTATCGCCCGGCCACTGATGGGCTTAAAACTGTACATTGTAATAGCTTTATAAACATTTCAAGATATTAGATATGTGCTTTGGCATAGTGTTTGTTGTGACTTATCTCATTTGTTTGACAATAACATCTTAATAAAATTCACAAATTTTATCATGGCCAAGATGCATGGGTTATGCTTATTGTTGGTTTAGGCTTTGGACACTTTATAGATGGTAGTACAAATTGGTCTCACTCTATCCCAGTTTTGCAAAAGAATCTCTATTAAATGGAACTTGGGGTTTCCTTCTCCTTTTCCTTCAAAGTCCTGAGAGGTCATTTGGCTCGATAGTGTTTTAAATTTCCCTCATGCTACAATGACAATATAACACAAGTAAGAATGACATTTGAATAGATGTATTTTGAGATGAACTACATTTCTTTTACAAGACCAATATGAATTCTAAGTGATCTTTTGCCATATTCAGTTTGACATGAAACCACATAACTCAAGAATTGTATGTATTACCAATTAGTTTTAAAAATTATTTTTAATTGTAAAATTGTCTTAAAAATGGTGGTTGTTAATAGTTAAGGGAAAGAATGTAAATTTATTTTCAGCTTTTCCTTAGATTTTTGAAATTAATACTTCAGCATTTTCATGTTTTATGTAGAGTTACTCCAATTGTGCCTGTATATTAGCTAATACAACTAGAGGCCATGAAGTGCTGGCATTTCCTCTTGCAACAACTGGCCCATGTCCTAATGTTTGTCATGTTATCATTCCTTTTATGATTCTACTCTTCATCATGACTCTTGTTGTCTCTATAACACATATGCCCTTGTTGATGATAACTCTCAGGTAGGTTTTTGTTTGCTTAAATGTATAATTTTGTTCTGTGCTTAAAGGTTAGTTCATTACTATACATTTTTAATACCTCGAAAAATGTGATAAATCTCACTTTTCATAAAATATTACTACCTTGAGTGGGAAATCTTTCATCTGTAAAATGAGTATCATAATTTGTCTTATACTTCTGTATTATCTGTTTGTCAGCATTTCATTAATAAGTTTGTAAAAATGTGTTATAGTTTAACAATTCAATATGATACAATTTTATTGACAATTTTGTTTAGACATGCATATATATATATATATATGCAAGTGAATTTTTAGTACTTATGCATTATCCTTATAATTGTGAAAGATGGCTATCATCAATAGCCGATGGATTGAAAGTCAGTGGAGTTGTACCAAACTTTCCTGTGAGTTTCCAAAGAAACTGGCATCTCTTTATTGATTAAATAGTCAATATAAAACTGACTTTGTTTCTGCACTTCAAAAAAAATTGTTTTGTCAATATACTATTTTGTTACTTTTTATATACTATTTTATTAGCTTTCTGATTGTACCAGAAGCTGTATTTAGAATACTCTGAGTACAAACTTCTCACAGATAACTGTTCCACATATTCAACAGGCTATATATTGTAATTAATACACACTTTTTTTATAGGAGGATACTGTAACTTTGGAAATAATCTACTGCTTCCTGTTCTGTTGAAAGCAGGTCTTCTATTTTTATCTTCTCCCTCCTCAAAATGCAAGAAAAAGTATAGCAATAACAGTTAATTTGTATTCTAGTTCATTGCGAAGCTTAAACATGTCTAGTTTGTGTACAATCCATGCTAAGTAATTAATTACCAGTTTTAAAAGTAATATATAAATTTTAAGTTATAAAGAGTTATAAGCATAGCAGCCAACTCTGATAGATCACTGAGTCAATGTTTTTTTTTTTTTTTTATTTAACACTAGAGGTGCTGTTAGTTTTGTAGCTCGCTTCTTGTCCGTATTACTTTTTTGTGTCTGAATCACTTTTCAAGCTGTTGCCACCAAATGTTAATGTCATGTATTATTTAAACAAATTAAATAATGAAGAACCTGATTTTATACACGCATGTTCCTCGCATTGTGGAAAAGTGATGGCACCTAGAGAACATTTTTAGTATACACAGTGCTCTATTCGACTATGTGCACCTTGAATTTTGATTTATTTATTTCATATTTTCTTCAAATTAAAATTTTTTTTCATAAAAAACGCAGCAATTTGAAAGTGAAAATTGGCATCACAGTTTGAAACAAAGCATTTTTTGTCTCCAGTGTGCCAGATTGTATTTCTCTTTCAGTTTTAATCAACCAACTCTGCTGTTTAAAAGCAGTGTGTTTCCACTACCAGAAATAAAATACTTTTATTTTCCACATCCCAGTGTAACCATTTGGTAAAGCGTAAGATATTTAACTTTCAGATTTAATCTGGAAGATTATCGAGTAACAAAGTGATTTAAAAGCAATAAGCACAATTCTTAAGAATAGTTTTTCTATTTTTAATACGACTGATTTAAATAAAAGTGCATTAAAATCATGAGACATCTAATCAGAAATATTAAATATTTTTATAAAATTACAAAATTTACACTAGCTGGACTCGTTAAAATCATAAAGAAAAAGTATATGATGCTAATTATTTTAGGTGGCCAGCCTCTCGAGTGGCTAGTTTTTAAAGAATAAATGTAGCATAAAAAATGTATGGCAGCTTCTAATAATTTTATCCGGAATTCTTAAAATATTTTATGATTTTGTGCTGAATCTTATTTGGCATAAATGCAAAGAATATGATATTTAATAATTACCTTAAACATGCAAAAGTTAACGACACAAAGACAATAAAAATACAAGTCATCTTGGTAAGAAAACTGACCACTGATATGTAATGAACTTTGAAAAAAACTGAAAAAAAAAAATGTATGTCAGCATTTAATACTGTATCAAAAGTTCTAAGCATATGATGCTATGCAGCTTTTGAAAATTTTGTGATTTTGTTGTTGAACAGTATGTGGTGTAAGTGCAAAGAAAGCCACGATTAATAATAAAGTTAAGGAGGGGGGATGTTGGCAGGAGTGAGTGCAGGAGCAAATCGGTAACCTGTGACGCTCAGCAAGAGCATAAAATACCTTAAGAAACCCTTCGGTGAGATGTTAAAATCTGAATCCTTTCAGATTTTCTTTCTCTCTCTCTCTCTCTTTTTTTTTTTTTTTTTTAAGTTTTTTTACGGTCAGGAAATGTTTTCCATCAATAAGTGAAATTTATTGAATTGTTAAACTTAGGGTGCAGATTCCATTTTCAACCCCCCACTAGTTTTCTGCATAATTTTTCATGTTGAATTTTACTTAATTTGGATTGTCTTAATCTGCTGTAGGCATTTTTAGAACATTTTAGGAAGATTCAACCATTGTTTAATTGGGTAATTATTTGTGTAGTTTTACATCAATATTTGGTACATCACTAAGTTTAGCTACACAGCAGTATGAAAATTAATTACTTTTTTATATCCATTGTACTGCTGTGATACATCAAAGCTTTCTTTCTCTGTTCAGGATTGCAGGGTAAAAATATAGGAAAATTACAAAATAAACTTAGCCAAAGAGCACAAAATTTAGACTAGATAAATATTAATATATTTTACATCAGAATCATATTTTAAATAGCTCAATAATATAAATGTAAAGTAATATAAATTTTTATAAAGTTTGTTTATAAAGGTTTATAAAGTAAATTTAAGGCATGGCTCTGCAGTATAAAACCTGAAACTCACGTATTCATTCAAGAATCTTCCTATTTTTCACATTTCAAGGTTGGCAGCTATGTGTAAGATATCGTGCTCCTTCATGCTCAGAATGAAATCTGAAGCAAAAATGTTATGAGAATATGAGAACTTGAATAATTAAAAATGAATAAAAGTTTCATAATAAATTAATGTTATTAGCTGGAAAACTGTGCTTTAGTTCTTAAATAATATGTACTGTAGTATAGCAAATATTTTAAAGTTTAAAATTGCAAATTTTTGAATTTCATGTATAAACTGCCATTGACTCCAAATAGTTAGAAAAAAAAAATGTGTTTACCTAATATTTGAAAGCATTCAGCATTACACTGCTCGACATTGATAATGCAACACCAAGAAGGAGTGCCCAGAAAGTGATGAAACTCGGCAAACAGAGAGAGACAGCAACAAACAATAAGTGATCTTTATTTCAAACTTATATACGTATAGCCGATGCTGTTCTTGCTCTTGTATTACATATAGGACTCGGTAGGTTATAGGACTACCTTGTATGATGATACACAAAGCAACATGTCTAGCTACAGAGTCAATAAGACTATGGTGGTGTTCTGAGGAGTGGCTCTCGATTCCCTGTCAACCATTTGCCACAGTTCATCTTCTGAACATGGCAATGGCAGGGTCTGCAAACGCACCCAGTCACATCCCTAATGTGTTTGATTGATGAGAGATCAAGAGAGAACAGTGGCCTGGGAGGCATCTGTACATCTCACAGAGCACATTGGCTGATGCAAGCAGTGTGTGGTCAGGTGTTGTCCTGCTGATAAAGAGCATTAGCCACTGTCTGAAGGTAGGGGAGTGTCGCCGACTGCAGCACATCATCAGTGCATTGTTGGGCCATTATATTGCCCTTAGTACGAACTACAGGTGACCTGGAATCGTATGCAATTGCACCCTATTAAGTTGCGTTGTCGTGCGGTGGGGCATTCCACAGTTGCTGCCGGATTGCACTTGTCTCCACATTGACACCACACTCACAGTGACTATCATTGAAGAAACAGAAGCATGATTCATCTGAGAACACGACCCCGGCACCATCGCAGATGTTGACGTCTGTGATGTGGGGTCAATGACAGTCTTAACGGACATAACAAGTGCAGACCACTAGCCAAAATCGACGACAAATGGTTCTGGTCGATACGGGAACATCTAGGGTATGACAAATATGCTGCAGATTGGAGGTAAAATTGGCTTGTGGGTGCTCCACCGCTTGTCAGTGGCGGATGCGGCGATTCATGCTTGCTGACATTACTCTGTCTGCACCAGACCCCCCTTAAACTTGCCACACTTCTTTGTTCCAAACATCATCATCACAGTTGGTGCACTGTGGACACGTGCATCAACTGTGACAATGAGTGGTGGGTGATCATGTGGGTGTGTGTCAGCTGAGATTTGCCATGTGGACCACTGATCACCATGCCCCTCGTAAAACTGTATGCTGGAACTGCTTCCATTTATGGGTATTCTCTTCTATTACACACGCCCTTTGAGACAAGAATAAATTTTCTACGATGATTTCTTTAGCAGAAATAACGGCACGAAAATTAGCATTCTGCAGGTTCCTTCCCTTTTACTTTCTTCGATGTGCGCTGGAGAGCTGTGCCTTTCACATCATTCGCATAACTCTGTGATGTGTGTCTACCCTGAAATTTGCATAATTTTTGGCCCACTCCTGTTTGGTGTTGCATTTTCAATGTTGTGTAGTGTATGTAAAACTTTATTATGTTGTGATGAAAACTGTTTTATGTTACAATTGTATGTTGCTAAATGTTAAAATTATGTATATGAGAAAAATCTATTTCAGAGTTGTTAAGTAAACACAAAAATTATTTTATTGATGTATTTTGAGATATAGTATTTTATTTCCAGGTCTGTTGATGAGGAAGAAAGAGCATTTGCCTTAGGAATGCAGTTTGTTATCTTTCGTCTGTTTGGTTAGTAGATATGATGAATTGTCAAATTAACTAGAACTTAAAATTTAGCAAAGAACTTTGAATAAAATATGCACCTCAATAAAATAAGCACTTTTTTAAAGCTGGTATGAATTTCACATTTTGGAATTTCATTCCGTGGTATTTAGAATAATTCCATAAAATGATAATTTTTAGCATTTATAACCTTAAGGGAAACAAAATTCCCCTCCCCCTTTAAAAAAACTCGGTATTTGCTTAACACACTGAATAACGATTTATTAAAGCAACAAGGATCAACATAATGTTCATAAATTTGCAATACTACTTTCGAAGGTTTAAATGTAGAAACTTCTTCAGCTGCAGGATCGCAAACGACAGAATCAGAGACAGTGATAAGAATGGTAAGAAGGAAGTCAAACTACTGGTGCCATCTTTTAATAAAAAAGGAAAACAAATATGAAATTATTACCTTAAAAGCTGATGGTAAAGACAGATTGGAATTTGGATCGTTAACTAGAACTGAAAGATTTTTATGAGTATGAAATGTCTCTAGAAAATCTAATTCACCAACAGAAGATATTTTTTAAATAATTTTGGCTGCAGAAAAATGGAAAATATGATTTTCTGACCAACAGTGTTGAGCAGTAGAGAAAGGAACACATTTTAAGGAAAAACATAAATTCACTGTTTTCAGATTGTACATTTAAACCTTTGAAACTAATCTTCTGAACTTATGAATCTTATGCTGATTTCTGTTCCTTAACTTCTCCAGGAATTTCTTTCAGTGTCCGTTGTTATGCTGTTTCATTTTTAATACTAATACTTACTAGTTATGATGTTCCATTATTCAAGTTCTGTAACTCCTATGTCGAGATTTTACACTAAGCTGTCAATTGAAATCTTTTAATTCTCAAAAACTTCTTTGTGGCTTTTTTGTCGTCTGCTATGTAACTGATGATTCAGACATTATCATTGCAATGGAAAACTTCTGTTATATCATCTTCATTTATCACTTCTGTATATTTTTCACAAATTCCATGCATGAATCTCAGTTGGGAAAAAATGACATTTAGGGCACATCTGCTTTTTGTTGAACTTCCTAGACTTTTTAAGGGATAAAATTTTTAAACTTGCTAGTGGTACAAAGGTCCAGATATTAGATCATTTTATATATTTGATGTCTGGACTTCAAAATTGGTGCTATAATATGAAGAGTACCAGCGACTCTATTCATTTTCTATGTATTCTGAAATGGAGCCCAACTTAGTTGTTAGTTTATTTCCTGTGTACAGCATAAGCTAATATAAGAAAGGTAAACTGCCTTTAAATTTATTTTGGATATGTTGAGGAAAAATATATAGTTTTCTAAGTTAGATAACAGTTTAAGATCAATCATCAATCTTTGATCATAATGACAGTAGTCTTTTTTTGTTCACAGTTATTGAAACTTCCCCCCCCCTTTATAACAGTGTATTATAATAGAGTATTTCGTTATTTTAGTTGTGTACATATTAATATGGACATTGCTTATAAAACTGCTTATAATAGCAGATTTTTAACTGGCCCATGATAAAAGTTTGCTCCAGTAAAAGCGTTTTTCTGCTTAAAATTGCAATTTTTCTGTCAAAAATATCTGATGTGTACACCACATAACTTCCTTGTACGGAATATTAAATTATATGCATTTTCTATTATATATATTAAATATATGCATTTCGATAGCACATAAACCACAATAGAATAAATGCACTCGTAAAAATTCACTATATTTGTTTATCATAGTGAAACTTTGGCACTAGGTTCACTTAACATATTATGACTCGCATATAAATTTATATCATTTGAAGAATTATCTAATCGTGGCCACATGTTCTATTCAAATACTATAATAAATCTAAAACAATGTTTAAAAGAAATTAAGCAAACAAAACAAAACAAAACAAAAAAATTAGTTTTTCACAGACGATTCAGTATTTCTTATTCAATTAATTCAGTTCTCACTTCCAAACAAGGCAGAAATACATAAAAATTCAAAATATCTGTATTCAAAATTACGAAGTAAAACTTAAACACTTATTTCCTTGAGTAAATTCCAGAATGGATTAAACATGATTTAATGCACAATAAAAAAGAAGGCGTTATCTTTGTTGTTGCAAAGCTTACTTTCTCTAGATTGGCAATAAATCCACTATTTTGCCAAGTTTAAAATGTGAACAAACATGTCCGCCATCGCAAAAATAACTAGGCTCTGCACTTAAACAACTTTAAAATTGTTGATAACTCCACAAATATTGCATGCAGATTTACTAAAAGCATAAAAACCTTAACCGGAAGATAAGAACAACATAATTCAATCATTTTTAAAGCAAAAAATGCACAATTTACAAACATATAAGAGTAAAGAAGCTGAGGTCACCTAGCTGGTTAACAGAGTTGATATATATACGTTTGGTGCGGCCGATTACAACCAAAGTATGAGGTCCACATGTACAGGTTATAGCAGTCTTATATACAAATTTCAATGTTCTGAGGCTACTCGTTTTTGAATTATGCGAGATACGTACATACAGACGCCATGAAAAATTCTCTTTAGAATTCCTTTTAAATCAGTTTTATAATTTTTTAGGGGAAAAATAGTCTTTTATTCTGTCCTTATGTACAAATGTCACGCAAAAACATTGTTAAATTGCATTTGATAGTGGTCAAAAGGGATAAAAATCGGTGAAATATGATGCCTGAAAATTTTTGCGATTACAATACTTTCTTTTTACTTCATACAAGGAAGTAAAAATACATTCAGTTCTTTTGTGGCCAGTTATATGTTAAATAGGGTTTAAATTCTGTGGAATGCTTAGTAATTTCATATTGTCTTTAGCTGCAGAATGGTGTAATTTTAGTATTTTCAAGTTTCTAAAAATCAAGTTTGAGTTAATGTTAAGAAGTAATAATGTGTATTTTGATATTAATGTAAACTCAAAATGTTCTTTGTTCAATAAAAATTAATTTTATATGATTCTTAAATATTCAGTTTATGTTCTAATTTTTTCTGCATCATGAAAATTTTTCTTTTTCCAATCCAGGTTATATACCATCTCCTATTATGTTTGGAAATGTTATTGATTCAACATGCATTTTATGGAAAGCTCATTGTGGGCGACCTGGGGGTTTTTGCCTCATGTACAACATAGAACATTTCAGACTAAAGTAAGTTGCTTATTTCTTTCTCTGTGTAGTCATTGAAACTACTGTAATATGTATACACGCACTGAAAAGCCATAGTAGAAAAATGAATGCATTTGATCAACAGTTATATGTATGTAGCACCAGTGGCAGAGTGGTTAAGAACCAGTGGCAGAGTGGTAAGGTAAAGTCGCTGAACATTGGTAGTTTTCGAATCCCGTGAACGAGCTGGCTGCTTGGGTGTTTTCATGGTTTTCCCCATGTGTAACATGTATACGAGCCAGTTTCCCTTAGAAAGTCCTCCACGAAGGCATCCCTCCCCTTAGGCAGGTAGCCCTAGTGTGCTTTGCCATAATTAAATACACACATACCCTCATGTGTTCTGCTGTATTCTGATAACATCAGCAAGTATACGTGTCAGTGTCCCGTAATATATATAAAACCCAGAACTAGTTTTATATTTGTAATGTATCAGGTCTGAAGGTGAGATAAGCCATCATTTTATTGCAGCTTGTTAAAGGTGAAATTATGGCAAAATATTGAGAAATCACTTGCCTCACATATATCATCTAAAACAGTGTATCCTATGGACTACTGTGTGCTGTTGTATTGAGTGTGCAATCAAAAGTTATGCGAGGAAAGGTGGATAATTAATTATTGATCACACGGTAATTGTTGCCATAGCAGTGTTGAGTGCAACATTGTTTCACATCCCTTAGTACCCATACCAGCGGCCGAGCGGTAAAGTCGCTGAACACTGGTAGTTCGGTCCGAGGTTCGAATCCCGCGAACGGGCTGGCTGCATGGGTGTTTTCGTGGTTTTCCCCATGTGTAACGTGTATACGAGCCAGTTTCCCTTAGAAAGTCCTCCACGAAGGCATCCCTTCCCTTAGGCAGATAGCCCTAGTGTGCTTTGCCATAATTAAATACACCACACCTTAGTACCCATAATTCTTCTTTGGACTTTGCGGACTCAGTACTTCCCACATTCGATTGATGACAGGGAATGAAATAGGCACAATATTATCAGTGATGCATTATGGATGACAGCCCTCAGGGGCTCACTTTTGTGAGTACGAGTGTGGCAATCCCGAGGTACCCTAGCCCTTCAGGGGATCATCTTCTTGATGAGACGGGTGTCACGATCCTGGAGCCCCAGTGATCTATCCTCTTTTCCGTCTCCTCTCCTCTTGGCTGGAACTTTTCCCCTTCCCTTCTCCCTTGTGGTTTCTCTCTACGGAGTTTGGGGCTCGTCACGAGAGGCTGGAACAGACCTTGTTTCTAGTTTTCGAGTGGCGAGAAAACTGCCCACGTGTTTGCCGTGCGTGGAGACCCGTGTCGCTGGAAAGGAGGGTCCTGGTAGTTGAGGGGCGAGGTACTGTCCCCAACACACTCACTGCTTTGGCCTCTGCTTCAGCTAAACGGGAGGCACCTTAGTCGTCCTCACGGGTGTCAATCGGCTGGTCACTAGTCCTTGTGTCAGTGGCTTGGGGTCAAGCTCTCGGGAGTACCTGCTTTCGGGAAAGCCGACTGTGGGGCTTCAGTTTGCGTATAGGTCCGGCTAGCCCTAACACAGGAATCTGTGTTCCCTTGTTGGGCTCCGTGGTGGGCGGGGCCGTCGGACCCGAATCTTTTCTCTTACAAACATGGCTTCACTTTTCATTCTTAAAAAACCTGACTCAAATGATACCAACCAAAATATAGAAATCGTTGAGAAATCCATTAACAAAAAGATCCGGACCGATGAAAATACCAAAGATATTGAAGTTATTGACAAATCCATTACAAAGAAGATCCGTACCGTTGCAAATGCCAAAGAATCTGCTGATTGTCCGCGCTTTGTTGTTGTTTCCAGTGCCTCTGGAGAATTGCAAAAGATGTCTCCTTTCCTGGTCAGCAAATACATTCATTCCTGTGTAGGTGAGCCAAGGAACATAAAGCGTCTCCGTTCTGGAGACTTGCTCATTGATACCCTTTCGGCCACCCAGTCTGCTTCACTTTTACGTCAAACCAAACTTGGACAAGTAGCTATAACAGTGTCAGCACACAAAACACTTAATACCTGTAGAGGCGTGATCTCGGAGATCGACCTTCTGTGTGTTTCAGAAGAAGAGTTCGTCTCCGAGTTAGCTGACCAAAATGTCTGTGGTGCTAGGCGGATCAAGATGCGAAAGGAAGGTCAGTTGATTGACACGAAACACGTGATCCTGACCTTCAAATCGCCTGATCTGCCGAAGAAGAATATAAAGGCTGGGTATCTTAACTGTCCCGTAAGACCATATATTCCCAACCCAATGCGATGCTTCCAATGCCAGCGGTTTGGTCACTCTAAGACATCCTGTCGTGGCACCCTTACGTGCGCCAGATGCTCGTTGGTTGGCCACGATAGTGATAAGTGCACCGCTGCGCCATTGTGTGTTAACTGCAAGGGTGATCACCCAGCATTTTCTCGCTCTTGTCCAAAATGGAAATCTGAAAAGGAAGTTCAGACCATAAAAGTTTCTAGGAATATTTCATATGCCGAAGCCAGGAGACAAGTTCAAAGCACACAGCCTCAATCAAACAAATCATATGCAAATGCCGTGAAATCAACCCGCACTATAGCCACCCAAACTTCCATAACTACACAGACTCCACCAAATAAAACCCAGCAGCCTGAAAGCAAGAAAAAAGAAAATCCAACACATACAATACAAAATAAAGAAATAACAATCTTGAGCAAACCAAAAACTGTGTCCTCCAAAAAAATAGAAGCCGATCTGTAGATGACATGAATTCTGAATCTCTAGATTCAGACGGTATGGAAGTGGAGGAGGGAATGGAAGTTCCCGAGCATCTACTTCCGCGCAAAAGTAAAAAGGAACACAGGAAAAACAAACACCAATCATAATGGCCACCCTCGTCTCATGGAACTGTCGCGGTTTCCACCGAAACTTTGCTTGACATCAAAGCTGTAATAAATGCTTATCATCCTGTGTGCTTCGCAATACAAGAGACAAATCTGAAACCAGATCAACATGCAAAACTTCGGAGGTTTTCTCTCGTCAGGAAGGATAACCTTACAGGTGAGCGTGCCAGCGGAGGTGTAGGTCTCCTCACCTCACTGGACTATCCCTCAAATGTACTTCCTTTGACGACATCCCTCCAAGTTGTCGCTACTCAAATAAATTTTGATATTGTTGTTTCATTTGTTTCTTTGTATTTGCCTCCAAATGAGCACATTTATCAGCAAGATTTAAATAATCTAATAGAGCAGCTGCCTGAGCCTTTTATCATAATAGGAGATTTTAACGGCCATAGTCCACTCTGGGGAAGTAAAGATACAAATTGCCGAGGAAGACAAATTGAGCAGATGATCGAAGATCATAGCCTTTGTCTCCTAAATAATGCGCAAGATACGTACTTCCATGAGCCTTCAAGGACATTCCACGCTCTCGATCTTGCCATCTGTTCACCATCTCTGTTGCCATTTTGCACTTTTAGTGTCGGAAATGACCTGTACAACAGCGATCATTATCCTATTTTTGTGTCTCTTGCACGAAGAGGAGCAAACCCCGTGTCGAGAGTCCCTCGATTTTATCCTGGACAGGGCAGACAGACTGGGAACTCTTCTCTTCCGTTGCAGAGCTCACAGGAGGAAATGGTAGAAGATGTGCATATCGATGACGCTGTTGAAGCTGTTACTAATACTATTATTCAGGCAGCTATGCTTTCGATTCCTAGAACATCAGGAAAAACACTAAAAATATTCGAAACCGTGGTGGAATCGCGACTGTCATGAAGCACTGAAAAAACAGAAAAAAGCATGGGGTATTTTTCGTAGATATCCTACTCTGCGAAACCTCATAGCTTTTAAAAGAGCCAAAGCAAATGCACGGAAAGTAAGAAGGCAGAGCCAGAGGGATTCCTGGATTTCATATGTGTCCTCAATAACATCCTCTACGCCTAGTAAGCGGGTTTGGGAAAGAGTTCGAAAAGCATGCGGAATGTATAAAGACCACTCACTTTCCTTTCTGGAAAAAGATGGCCGAGTGATTAGCTCCATAGAAGAAATTGCAAATACAATTGGTGAGACATTTGCTGCCGTTTCTTCCAGCCGAAATTACTCACCTGCATTTCTTTCTATCAAGCAACGCTCTGAGAAAAATCCCATCGCTTTCAACTCTTCCAACTTTGAGCCGTACAATAGAGACTTTACTATGGTTGAATTAAAGAGAGCTTTGTTGCAGACACATAGGTCTTGTCCGGGTCTGGATGGCGTGTATTATGAAATGCTAAAGCATCTGTCCTGTAAGTCACTGAGTGCCCTTCTCACACTTTACAATAGAGTGTGGAAGGAGCGTACATTTCCCAGTGCATGGAGGAGAGCTGTTGTCATTCCTATTGCGAAGCCAGGGAAAGACCCGAGGAATCCCTCGAACTATCGGCCAATTGCCCTTACCAGCTGTGTTTTGCAAACTGTTTGAAAAGATGGTAAACAGCCGCCTAGTCTACTTCTTGGAAAAGAATATTATATCGCCTTATCAAAGTGGTTTTCGAAAGGGGAGAACAACCGTAGATAACATGCTCCTCTTAGAGACATCCATTCGAAAAGCATTTGTAAGAAGAAGCCACCTTGTCTCGGTATTCTTCGACATTGAGAAAGCTTATGATAAGGCATGGAGATACGGTATACTTCGGGATCTTCACGAGAGTGGCTTGCGCGGCAACCTACCAATTTTCATTCAGAATTTCTTGAAGAGTAGAACTTTTCAAGTAAGGATTGGCTCTGTTTTTTCGGATGTTTTTCAACAGGAAGAGGGTGTGCCCCAAGGCTGTGTGCTTAGTGTAACGCTGTTCAATTTAAAAATAAATTCTGTATTAAAAGAACTTCCTCCTACCATCTTGGGATCACTATATGTAGATGATTTACAGATTAGCTGTCGAGGAGCAGACATGAGATACATAGAGAGGCAATTGCAGATGGCTCTGAATAAGATCCAAGAATGGTCAAACAAACAGGGATTT